TTATGAAGGTTACCTTTACTCCTCAGGAACTCAGAGACAGTGTGGTAACTACACATTGTACCCGCGTATTGCTGAGTTTCATTCGAAAAGACCTAGAGCTAGGCACGTCCAAAATAGAAACAGAGACAATGTGGTTAGTAAGGGAATAATGGAAGAATTTGTCAGCTTTATTAGCCCAGTCCTGCCTAAGCCCCCACAGGCAGCAGTTTTCAAACAGATGCTTAAAGAATTTTGTATTGTGCCTTATCACGTCTTCAGGATTTCTCAAAGCGCCTCACAGAATATAGAGTGAATTGACTGTATATTTTGTGGGCGAAACGTGACAGCCAATTGCACACAGCAGTGTCCCACGGACAGTTGTGGATTGAGTGACCAAATTATTATTTTTTTTTGAAGGGGTTATTACCCCCGGAAAAGTGATCCTCCAATCGACTAACAACCGGGTTCCTACTTACTGTTAGGTAAACAGAGGGGTGTGGAGTAAGGAAACTTGACCAACATTTCACCTTGCTGGCCAGGACCCCGGAGAAACTCCCTTCTCATTTTGAACAGTGTCACTGGATCTTTATCAAGCAGAAGGCCTTGTGGTTTCATGCCCATTCAAACGATGACATGTCAAACACAGCGCTGGAGGCTGAATCATCAAGTACAAATCATTAATTGGGGGAACAATGGAGCGAGCTTTTATCTAACTTTGAAGGTGTTTTGAGTGAAGAAAACCTTTCTCCCTTTTGGTACAGATACAGGATGACCAAAAAGTCTCATTCTTTAGCTACCCTATTATCAAAGAATCATAAAGCACAGAAGGAGGCCATTCAGTCCTTCGTACTCGTGCCGGCTCCTTGAAAGAGCTATCCAAATTAATCCCACTCCCCTGCGCTCTCCCCATGGCCTTGCAAATTTGTCGTCCACAAATACCTATCCACTTCTCACTTGAAAGTTATCAAATCTGCTTCCACCACCATTTCAGGCAGTGCATTCCAGATACAAACTCATCTAAAAAAACATTTATTTAAAACTTATTAGACATTGTAATGGTATCATGACTTTTTGGTCACCTGTAAATTGTGTAATGGACAAGTATTTAATCCATTGATATCCCTGATAGAATTAACACTCTTGTCCATTCCTACTTCCTTTCCCAATCTTTAACAGCCACCCTTGAGCTGAGTGATGATAAGGAAACGATGGAATAGTCTTAAGTACTGTTCTTATCTCACCTACAATTAGAGTCAAGCACAGTGGAATACATTTCTTTCCAAGTCTCAGTTACTTGTATTTAATTTTTAATTTTGCAAGTTTGCACTCAAACATGCTTCCTCAGGGATATTTGATGCCTCAAGCTTTGATTGAGACTTTTTTGTTTTGCTTTTAAGGCGTTCTGCACTTCATTCTCTGCTTTAGGCTTAATTCTCTTTAAAGGCTTCTGCTTGTGTGCATACCGAGTCTTGGGTTGCCCTCTTCGTTTCATCTTGGTCATTTTCACTTTTGTGTATCGCTTGCGAGATTGACTACATTTGCCTCGATATCTCGTCTTCATGACTCGTCTTTCTTTCACCAAACTTTTGTGGACGAACTGCACTTCTGTAAATGTTTGGTCATTTTTCACCTTTTATAGTTCATGATGCTTCATGAAACATGTATGATGCTTTATGACACTGGGTAGCTACACCTTTGGTCTATGCCACAATATTGCCTTTTAAGGTACTGCTGCTCATATTACATGCACGTAATAAACCTTGTGTGCGTTCCTTATAAGGTATTGTTTTACACAGTTTGCAACAGTTGTAAATTTTGCCAGTTTACAGAAACTACCCTTGCAATGTATATTTTAAATAAACATTCAGTTCCAAAGTCCAGATCTCAGAGATTTAGGGCAAAGTCTGTTTTGAGTTTCTGACCCTCATTACATTTGCTGACCTTGTCGCGAGAGTGCGTCCATTTTATCATCAGTCGTGAAATCTAGAGACCATGGCAGTGTGAGGTTAAAATGAGATTTTCCCATTACAACCGCACATTGGCAAGATCCATAGATTTACCGACTGATGATAGAATCGGGCATGCTCACCCATAGGCACTAAATTCAACAACTCCACTATTATACTTTTCCTTCCCAGTCCCACCCAACTCAAAAGTTACAAACGTCCATAATATATAGGGCTTTAATTAAGACTTCATCATTACTGTGTAATTTTTACAATATCCTATGGAAATATTAGAAAAAGTTCATGGTGAACTTCTGTTGATAGCAACTCAAGTATAGTATCCAGCTAAATGCATGTTTAATTCAGAGTATGAATAGAATAAAAGACTTGCCCGCTACACCCAATATATTGACCCTAATCCCACTTAATATACTTCAAGTGGTGCTCAAATCATTTCAACAACAACAAAATTACATTTGTATAGTGTCAAATATATATATTTAATAATAAATAATAATAATAATCCTTGTATTTGATATTGCGTTTTTCAGTCGGGAGGACTTTCCAAAGCGCTTCACAGAACACACTGTAAAGTGAATTGACTGTATATTTGTGGGCGAACGCGGCAGCCAATTGCGCACAGCAATGTCCCACAAACAGTTGTAGATTGAAAATGACCAATTTATTATTGTTTTGGAGGGATTATTATTAGGCGTGCGGAGTAAGGAAACTTGCCCAAGGTTTCGCCCTGCCTGGAATTGAACTCAGGTCTCTCGCTTGCAAAGCGAGTGCTCTAACCACTGAGCTACAGGACTCCATTTGTATACCCAAGGCAGTTCAAGTTAAGAAATGAAGTAACACAACCAAAATATAATAGTTTACTGTAACCTTTGTGACTCATGTCATCTGGTTAACACAACTGGATCAGCATTGATATCACTCATGTACAGACACCAACCACCTTGTGGTAAATTGTTATGTTCATTAAAGTAACCTTTATTAAACATAGGGGTGAGCATGCCAGGTTCTCTCATCATTCAGTAAATCTATGGACCTTGACAATGTGAGGCTGCAATGGGAAAATCCCATCTTAACCTCACAACACTATAGTCTCTGATTTACCGACCGATAAAATGGACATACTCTCGTGCCAAGGTCAGCAAATGTAATGAGGGTCAGAAAATCAAGTACCTTTGCACCAAATCTCTGAGATCTGGACTTTGGAACTGAATGTTTATTTAAAATATCCACTGCATTGTAGTTTCTGCAAATCCGCTAGATTTACCACTGATGCAAACTGTAAAACAATACCTTATAAGGAATGCACACAAGATTTATCACGTGCCGGTAATATGAGCAACAGCACCTTACAAGGTAATGTTGTAGCATAGACCAAACGTATAGCTACCCAGTGTCATAAAGCATCTTACACGTGTCATGATGCATCATGAACTATAAAAGGTGAAAAATTACCAAAAATATTTACATTTGCAGTTCGCCCACAAAAGATTGGTGAAAGAAAAACGAGTCATGAAGATAAGATATCGTGGCAAGCGTAATCAATCTCGCAAGCGACACACGAAAGTGAGGAGAATGAGAAAGACCAAGTTGAAACGAAGAGGGCAACGTAAGACTCGGTATACATACAAGCAGAAGCCTTTAAAGAGAATGAAGCCTAAAGCACAAAATGAAGTGCAGAACGCCTTAAAAGCAAAGCAAAAAAGTCTCAATGAAAGTTTGAGGCATCGAATATCCCTGAGGAAGCATGTTTGAGTGCAAACTTACAAAATAAAAAATTAAATACAAGTATCTGAGACTTTGAAAGAAATGTATTCCATTGCGCTTTACTGTAATTGTAGGTGAGATAAGTACAGTACTTAAAAAGACTATTCCATTGTTTCCTTATCTTCACTCACCTCAATGGTGGGTGTTAAAGATTGGGAATGGAAGTAGGAATGGACAAGAGTGTTAATACTATCAAGCATATCAACACGGATTAAATATTTGTCCATTACGCAATCTACAAAGGTGACTAAAAAGTCGTGAAATGTCTAATATGGCTTAAAAGAATTGTTTTTTACATAATTAGGATAACTGAAAAATAAGACTTTTTGGTCACCTTGTATTTGTACCAAAAGGAGGAGAAAGCTTTTCTTCACTCAAAACACCCTCAAAGTTAGATAAAAGCTTGCTCCACCATTTCCCCGATTGATGATTTGGACTTATTGCATTTTATACCTGCGGATAATCACGGTCTGTACCCAGTGCTTGTTGTGTCACAGGTTCTGCACACTACTGCCAACGGATTTCATTCGTCCTGAAAAAACTGCACTATGAAATCATTTTTACAAGCATCGAAATGACATACCAATTGAGTGATCCCTCCGCGACAGTGGGGCCCCGGGTGGTCTGATGCAGTTCCTCCAACTTGCACTCTCTGCTGGTGGTGAATGTGCTCTTGTGAAAGCCAGGCTCAGGTGGCGTCAAGGCAGGCCATTCGTCCTCTCTCTCTCTTTCGTTGCATAGCCTTGACGCCTTTTCTCCCGTGAGGTTGAAAAGTCTCCAACGGCGTGGCCGCCTGCACACCTAAGTTAGGCCACCGCTCTCACAGGTCTATAACGTTAAGAATGGGGCCACATTTGGAAACTTTTACCACATTGTCTTGCCGAATGGCACCCCACTGTCTCAACTGATCACATGCTTTGTGAGCGTCCAGAGGAAAACATACTGAGTGCTCGTGACAGGCAGGTGCAGCTGTACTCTGGAGACTTCTGATACAAAGTGAGGCATCTTGTCCCCCCGGCTCAACCCGGAAGTGCATTGTTTTGCCTTTATGAATTATGACTCTTGACTTAATGTAATGCTTTGAGGTGTTGCCAAGTGAATGCTTGTGGCCAATAAATAGCTCGATTAAACTCTTTTGAGTCGTCTGTATTCACTCGTTAATACAAACGGGATCCTGGATTTGTCCTCCTAACTTGAAACCGTCCTCAACTCTAGTCACCGGGAGATTCGGTTGCAATACCAGCACAGTGACAATCGTTCAATGCAGTTATAAAAAAGACAAAGTCAGTATTTAGCACCAATCTTCATTTACTTCTCAATGCACACCATAATGCACTTGTTTCCATTAGGCTGAAAAAAGCTTGTTCTATACAATGCTTGATACTGGAGGTTGGTTAGAAAGAGGGAACAGAAGCAGGATTATATATCAGCAAATTCCCCTGAGTGCATGATCTCAAGTTTTAAAATAAGATATTGCATCTGAAAATACAAATTGCATCAAATTAAGAATTCATGAACCAATTCAATTTCAGTCACTTCAGTTTGCTCCTCAAAGAAAGCAAATGTGTTCTATTGGAAACATGGCTTCTTTAGTTATCTAGTGAAATCGTAAATGTAGAGCCCTAATTTCTTTTTACCCCATATCCATTCTTACTTATTAATAAATAGCTGTACCCATTGCAGCTTTGCTTGTAACTAAGGCATCCAATAGATTGACACAGACAGACACACACTTTAGTCTTTATCTATACTCAGGTGAGAGGACTCCTGTGGAAGGACTCCTGTTATATATTTTCTCTTGCAGTCTCTCTGTCTCTCTCTCAGCATCTCTCCCAGTCTTCCGCCCTCTCTTTCTACCTCTCTCAATTTCTCTCCCATTCTCTCTCTTGCAGTCTCTCTATCTCGCAGGCTCTCTCTGTATGTCTCTTACTATCACTGTCTCTCTGTCTGTCCCACATGGGAGGAGTCCAGCTCCCATGACTACCAGAAAAAAGTACCATACATTTGTTACAGAATATAGATGTATCGATCTGAATAGTGTGCTTTCCTCTGTCACTACGTAGATGCAGAATAGAATGCATACCTCATATTTTGGGGATTAATTATAGCATTTTTTTAATACAGTTCATCAAAAATATGCCCAAGACACTGCCAGATGCAAAACCTTTCCAATGAGTTATAAATCATGACACTACATCAACTGGTTATTGTGTGATTGTCGGATTCACTGACACACAGACAGACATTTTGTCTTTATTAGTATAGTAGATGCTGCGTTAGAAACCAAGCCTGCCTTAATGTACAGTATTCAGTTTACAGTAGACTATCCATAATAATACTTTGGAATATGATTTTGTGCTTGCCACTATTGTTCTCAGCACAGACTCTCTTTACTAACATCTTTTTGATTGTTAAAGTTGTCATCAATCATATAAATACATGTCCAATGTATGGGATGTTTCAAGGTATTCTATTCAGAACATTTTTTAATATAAAAATAACGTCTGCAAAAATCATTTGATCAACAGTTCCCTTTTGAAACTGTTTAAACAGAATAGTATTAAGATGCTCTATAGAGAAATCTTGCTGTTTAAATGGATAAAAAATAGTACTATTGCAAAGATTATGGCAAAGAGTAAGAGAATAGGATTATAGTAGATAGCTCCAGTGGGAAATCTAACACTAGATGAGCTGAAGTTTCCTTCTGTGCTGTAAACATTTTACAATTTTATGACCATAAAATTTATCCCAAACAATCTCAGAAAATAGAAGACAGCACCTGTTTAATTTAGAAACGTTCAGCTTTTAGAAACCCCGTTTTGCCTTGTAAAATACCGACTTTTCTGACTTCAGTATGCTTTTAACCTAATTTTACCGTATTTTAAGTACTCTTCAACTTTAAATCTCAAACATATTATTTGTTTTATTCAGCTTAAAAATCATAATTATTATTGCTATAAACTATGAATCAAACAACGCTCTTGCAATGGCTGAATCCTGTGCTGCTAAACACAGCACATTATTATACTTCGCCAATGTTTTAATCAAAATGCACTTTGATAGAATAATGAATAATTCACCCAAAAGTTACATAAAAAATATTTTGGCACAACTAACCAATACCGTTGAAAAACTGATAAAAAAAATGTATTTGTTGCATGTCTTTTTCATTGATAACTGTCACTATAATTAAAAATTATAGAAAAATGGAAAGTGATGGATCTCCAATATTATTTACATTTAATGTAATTGCACAGATTTGTTTCCATGGCCAAACACATTAGAAACATATCAGATTGAAGCAGCAACCTAAACCAAATGTTATAATCCGGGCTCTAAATGAAATGCAAAAACCTCTGGTGACCTACTTCAACATGTGGTTCACGATCCCATCGAACAGCTGGCAAAACACACTATTGCCATAGCAATATTGTCGTCAGCTTGCTGTCATAGCAACATCACAGCACAGCAGTGCTTTACAGTAGAGTGTCAAGTGTTAACTAGATTGCAGTGAATACATAAAACGAATGTGCTATACACCATCCACCTTCAGAAATTTAGCAATAAAGAAACCTATGGTGTCTTCATTTGCAGAGTTGATTAAATGCACTTGCTGACTGAGATCCAGCTCTGAAGAATATACATCAAAGTCTCTTGAAATGACGCTGGCTGGATCAAACCGCTGCAGCAATTTCAGTTGATCACGTGACAGGCCAGCACCCATCATGCCTTCGCCACCAAGGTGAGGCTCCTTTGGGGAAAAGAAATATTAAGTGCAGTTTTAACCCTTTACAATCCCACCAGAAAATACATTAATGAACATAAGAGCTTTTTGTGAAAAGCAACGGAACCCACAGAAAGGAAAACATCACTAGACAGCTATCATAGCTTTACAAAATACAGATGCAAGACCAATGTGGTGGCAGTCTAAAGAATAAGAGGAATGGCCTTCAGGAGAAGTACAAGCACATTTTAAAAGAAAAAGAAAAAGTGGGCTGGGTGGGAGGAGGAGATAATGAAGAAACAGCACAAGGGTCAATGATAAGGTTGTATTTCTGACCTAGGTGAATGAATTAGAATTCAAGTATTAATATAATTCTATGAATTTAGTGAATAATATACTCAGCTAGTACAAAATAATTACATAATTTGAAATTTACATTTAATTTATCAGCGAGTGTTCTTCTTTAACAATAGAAAAAAGCGCTCAACACACAGTTTTGGGGTAAAACAGTCCAAACAAGTTGCTTACAAAAACTGTAGTCATTAACTAGATATGACATTTCATCTATAGTGTGCAGAAGAGGTACCCACCTGTTGTTGCAGCTGTAAACATGGAAAAGAAGCCAATGCCCAAGCAACTTGTTCTTCATTTTCTGCCAGTGTTATTGTGCATGTGCTGTACACCAAAATGCCTCCGGGTTTAAGTAAATGAACTGCCTAAGAAAACAATTCCAGCCTTTAGAAATAAGATACAAGTATAAAATATATAACTTATAAAACTAGTTTCCTGAGTAGGCAAACACTGATATCTTCTTAGTTGAATATTTTCTTTAACAATTTGGTTTTCATAGCTTTCAGTTCCCCTAGGACATAAATTGGGTGGGATGAAGGGGTAGACATTGCACGACCAATGGAGGAAACAGGCTTGAAGGATTAAATGGCTTTTTCTCATTCCATGCTTCCTGTCTTACATTCTTAAATTAAAAAAACTTTTTAAGTGGAGGAGGCAAATCAGCTGTGTGAAGGCACACCATACAAGTGCTATGATATTCCTTTAGCCAGAAACAAAGGGACAAAAAGACTAGGTCTTTAAACAACTCAAAGACACTGTTTTCCACAGTCCATCACCTCATCCGTGCACCTCCTCAAGCTCCCTCTATCTTCACATCAAATGCCAAGTGCGACGAGGTCCTAAACTTTTTCGCCTCAAAGATTGAAAACATTTGCTTGGCTGCATCGTCCTCTCCTCCACCCCCGCTGACCCTTCCAGCCCACCCAGACATCTACACCGCCTTCTCACTCGGCTACAGCTCCTGCCACTCCCTCCTCCTTACATTCCTTTGCTCCCATTTTCCCGTCCTCCCTCTCAACCAAAATCACCCGATTGAAGTTTACCACCTGCTGCCTCGACCCCCTCCCCACCCAGCTGCTGGTCCCTCAACTCCCCCTCCTCTCCCCCTGCTGGCCAACCAGTCTCTCTCCTCAGGCTCTGTTCCATTCCCCCTGAAAACTGCTCTTATCACACCCCTCCTCAAAAACCCACCCTTGATCCCTCGAATCTCTCATATTAGCGTCCCATTTGCAACCTACGCTTCCTTACCAAAGTCCTGGAACGCATTGTTGCAGGTCAACTTCAGTCACACCTCTCCCTCCACAAGCCCCTGCAGTCCGGTTTTCGCCCTAACGACAACACTTGTCAAAGTCACAAACAACGTCCTCTCTATCTGTGACCAGGGCCCCTTCTGCCTCCTCGTTCTCCTGGATCTCTCTGCCATGTTCAACAGTCGACCACGCCATCCTCCTCCACCGACTGTTGTCCCTCATCCAAATTAGTGGGACCGCACTCGCATGGTTCGAGTCCTGCTTAACCAACCGCCTCCACTTCATCTTGGCAAATGGTTTCTCCTCCTGCCCCCACCCAGCCACCTACTGGGGTACCAGGGCTCCATCCTTGGCCCTCTTCTTTTCCTCATCTATATGCTCCCTCTTGGAGATGTTACCCGCAGACATGGGGGTAAACTTCCACATCTATGCGGATGACACACAAATCTATTTTGCCTCCTCCAGTATCGAGTCCAGGTCCGCTGCTATCAGCTTGTCTGGCAGACATCAGGACTTGGATGAGTGCAAACTTCCTGCAGCCGAATGTGGACAAGACAAAAGCCATACTCCTTGGCTCCCATCAACATCTTCACTATTGCTGATTTGAACTCCTCAGCCTCCCTGGGCTCTCCCTCAGACTCACCGAACCAGTGTGCAAGCTAAGCGTCCGGTTCAACCCCCAGTTTTCCTTCCTCCCCCACATCAGTCCCTGACCAGGACTACCTTCCTCCACCTCCGCCACAATGCCCGCCTCCGACCGTACATTACCCCAAATGCAGCTGAAACCCTCGGGCATGCGCTTGTCACCTCCCGCCTGGATTACTCAAACGTACTCCTCACCAGTCTCCCCAGCTCCATTATTCAAAAAATCCAGCTCATTCAGAACTCTGCCACCCACATACTGACCCGGACCAAACTCCATACTCACATCTCACCAGTTCTGGCCAGAATCCACTGGCTCCCCAACACCAAACGGATTGACTTCAAGATCCTCACACTTGCGTTCAAATCCATTCACGCCCTGGCACCTCACTGCCTCTCTGACCTCCTCACTCCCCAATCCACCACCCGGCATCTCCCCTTGACTGGCACCGGCCTCCTGTTTGTCCCTAGCACCCTCTACCCCACCAGCGTTTTCAGCCACTACGCCCCAAAACTGGACCACTCTCCCTCAATCCCTCCACCTTGCTCCCTCTCTCCCCTTTTTCAAATACCACCTGAAAATCTTCCTCTTCGACTGTACTTACTGTCAGCCCCTCCTCTCCGTGCCCCACCGCCCCCACCCGGGTTCAGAGACAGGTACCGCCACGGTTAAGAACTCTGAGACGCTATCTTGCATGGAGGACGCGCTATAAGTGCAACTTGTTGTTGTTGTTGGTTTCATGTATTGCTGCTGATAATGGTAATATTATCCATTAGAATGGAAAATTATTCGGGGAGAGGGAAATTATGTACTCGACTCCTACAAAGAAACATTCCAAACGATCTTTGCCTATCTGAAATAATACACTTTGATTAGTCCAGGTCTACAAACAGAATTTAAACATCAGTAATCCTCAATATCAATCAGGCTTTAGTCAAAACTTGTAGATAGTCTTTGATTTAAGTTCAAACAGCAGCATCCAATTAGAAAACTGGGATAAGAAGAATGCTGGTTCTGTCGCAGTTGACTAACAGCAGCATTTTTGGCTCTTCGTGACAGCTGCTTCCACAGATACAGGTAGCGATGATATGAAACAATGTATCTGCCTTTCTGGATACTGAACCACCAATTTGCTCATAAATAATGTAAAATGCTGTATTGCTTTAATTGCAATAACATAAAACATTATTCTCTTGTTGCCACCCAATAAACTTTTTAAACACTTCAGAACCTTAACTTTAGCTAAGATTTCTTCATTGAAAGTAATTCCTATATCATGTTTTAAAAATATTTTTCCTCCAGTTTTCTAAATGCACTGAATCGTACTGTGGTCGTTCAATATCTGCCAAATTGTCACAATGACAATTCCAAGTGAGTTCCAAACACCTTATCTAAACATGCTAATAACGGAGTTCCTTGGTATATTTATTTGCTCTCTCTCCCCCCAACATATGTTAATATTGGTTCACTCGCTCCTCAACATGGTGGGTATTAAAGATCCCATAACATTCTTCAAAAGAGAAAGTGGTTTTTCCCGGTATTCTAGCCAACAATCTCCCAAATAAAATTGGTCATTCATTCCATGGCTGTTTGTGAGACATTACTGTGTGCAACTCGATGTTACTCACCCACAAAATGCAATCAATCCAATTAACAATATATCTTGTGAAACCCTTTGTGACAGCTTCACAATGTAATAAGGCACTATATCAAACACCAGGATTATTGTAAAATTATTACATCTCACATTCAATGTCACATCAGCACTTCCTCCCACCACATAACACTTTACCTTCTGACTGTACAGTAATGATAAAACAATTTTAGCTCACGTATCTATTCTAAAGAAAGTTTTCTTCACCCGTTCCTTCCTCTTACTTTAAATGTGGTTAGTTGTGCAAGTAATAATTTCTGTGCATCAGCCTAGACAGCAAATTTTAACAGTTCATGAGGCTGTAGCTCTTTTCAGCTCAGTTAGATCTTGTCCTCACTTGGTAATCACTCAACAATACTTTCCAAAGGAAGCTAATGGATAGAAATTAGGAATCAATGAATTTGACTAACTGCCCTGCAGCCCGGAGTCTAGTTGTAGAGCCTTATTGCCTTAGGTTAGTTAATTCACCACAAACCAAGAATCACACCACAGGTTTGACTGGTGTGTTTGGCTCAGAACCACACAAACATACTTCCACTCAAATAACTACAAATTGATATTATTACAATGATTAAGAGAATAGTTATGATTGAAAGTAGCAGTATTTCATATTATTGGAATTTTAGGATGATAAATTCAAAAATGGAGTCTTACTTTATTATGTTTCTGTCAGTAATTACATCCTGGGCTAAAACTTACTGTTCTAAAAAGCTTGCGTTGTAAAGGTTGATAACAAGTGATTTCCTTTAAGCTGCAAGCGCAGGCCATATTTGGCCTCTGACCCAACCCACTGCAAGGTGCATCTAGAAGTACACGGTCAAAAGATTCTGGTGGGTATGGAGGACCTTCTGAAAGATATAAAACAAAAGATAATTTTGTCTTTACTTTATCCTCACAATCATCTTAGTTACTGTAAAGCATTTAGACACAAGAATTGTGATTTAAACGATTTCCTACTGGTTTTCACTATAACTACTCTTTCCTGCGATAAGATACTATTACTTTAATTACTACACGCTGGTATGAGAATATTTCATTAAAACGTAATTATCCTATTTCAAGAGTTTACCCATCTACACAATCATCTATCAAGTGTTTGTAGTCAATTGCCCCCTTCCTTGCCTCCTTCAAGACCCATCTCAAGATCCTCCTCTTCGACTAGGCTTTCAATCATCCTGCTTCCCCACATTGCCCTCCACTCTCCCCAATCCCGAACCCCAGCTCGGGTCCGAAACACTGACTGTCCAGCACCTCGGGAAGGCCTATCAGCGTGAAAGGCGCTATACAAATGTAATTTTGTTGTCGTTTGTGTTTTAGAAATATTGGCTTTTTCAACAATAGAATAGTTCCATCGTTTTCCATTCATGTCATGTGTCGGGCAACATGCTGAATCTGTGTACTCGTTGCATTTTTCTGCAGTCACATAAATAAACTAACCTTTGGCAGACTAATGATAGACATATTCTGAATATTACGATTTTTTTCATTTTCTCTTTTTGCCTAATATCAGCTTCCGTCAAACGGGGTGACCTGATTTTCTGAAACAGGTCGGGTGATTCAGTTCACTGATATAATGTTAAGGGCATTGATAATGGGAAGGGTGATGAACATTCAACAACCATACTTTGCAATCTCATTAAAATAAAGGCATTGTCACATTTAAAACAAAAGCTGTCATGTATTCAGCCTTCCTTTTGAGAATATCCAACTTGTGTTCTGCCAATGCCATAGATCACAGCTGATTGAAGTGAAAATTTGGCAAATAACTTTTGGGTACATTTTTCTTAATACTATCATAACTATTTGAAGTGCCTTGGGATGTCCTCCCGACGTGAAAGGCACTAGACAAATCCAATTTTGTTGTTGTTGTTATAACTGTCTATGACTTTTGCCCTTACTGTTTTTAATTAAGTCCATTCCCTCGCATAAGGACAATTCCTTCCGTGGTGGCATGTTTACAACACTTGTCAACAGTCACTGAATCAAACCAAACAATGTACACACAAACCATGAATACAGCACTTACCGAGAATTGGCCGCAGGAGCTTAGGTTAGTCCCCGGCCCCAGGCGAAGTCGATTTTCCGCTCGAGCCGCTTCCGCGATCCCAACACTCCCTGCGCCGTGCATGCACAGTCGGAGCCCATTCCACCCACAGTGGCAGCATTGAGCAAACAGCGCAAGAAGCCCGAGGATTAGCACACAGATTAGTAGTGGTGGAGGGTATCTATACCGCGTTTAAAGCGGAGGAGGGCTTGGTAGCAGCTGCAATCAATGACCACTGTCCTGAACAGTCAAGTGCCCGGTTTATTGAAGCAGATGACCTATCTTTTAACACTGTTAATGAAAGAGATTGTGAAAATGTGTCCACAATTGTGAAGCTGCTGGATTACCAAAATGACCGGATTACCAAATTGACCAGGTTTCTACTGTATATTGTATAATATGTGGAGGGTGCCCCTTTTTTAAAATCATGGTTTTTAGTACTGTATTTCAAAACTTGCACTTAATATTTTTTACCTTGTCCATCTCGATTTCCTTCAGTATCAAGAGCCTTGGTACCATCATAGCAAAACGCTTTGATACATTGCAGCTGTAAGTTCTTAGCATTCTGTTTAATCTTCTCCAATTTGTTTGCAATTTTGTCCATTGCCAAAACTTCACCCTGTTGGCAAAGTCATTTTAAACACATTTTCAAATAAAATGATAAATTGTCAAACTGCTTCACTGGTTATTGTTGAAAAAAATTCAACAATCGACAAATTCAATTCTGGTTTGCTACCAATGTTAAGAATAGCAACTTTACAAATATTTTGTATGCTTAAAGATGGATATTTTCATTGGTTGTTCACCCCAAAAGAGAAATGTACAAAGAAAGTCAAAAGTTTGAAAACTTTGAAAGAATTGTAAAACACATAATGGAACTCTACAAATTGCAACAAGCTCTTCCAGAGACCCTAACTAGTACCTTCCAAGAAGTGAAAATTTGGCGAATACCTCTTGGGTACATTTTTCTTAATACTGTCTTAACTATTTGAAATTTGTTCTCATCTTTATTCCTGCTCTAAACATAGTGCTGTAGTGCACACAAAAGTACCATAGAGGGAACCAAAGTTACACTTGCAATCAAAGCAATAGTGCATACAAAAAAATTTCACTAAGTTGTTATATTTGTTTAAAAAGACAACAGCAATTATGGGGTGGGGGAGTCAAGGAGAAAGAGTCTTTGTGTGGTAGGCTATCCCCATCAACAATATAATATTCAAATTATAGCCTATCTGCTTCTCCTCCAACCCGAGTGGGTTTTTTTTAATTCAGATATATTGCCATATTGTGTTATTCAGCTACATTCCTTTATGTCTTTAGCTAGGTTCAGTACGACCCAATAACATATTTATGACACTAAATTAATTTTCAAAGTATTCCTGTTTGGTTCTCGCTATTGCACTTGCATTTTCATTGCTTCAATGATTGCATTAAAAAAACTAAACTTTTCATAAACAGCTTAAAAAATTTAAAAGACCTCTTAAACCAGGTCGTTTGTTTTGGAGTAGCTTGTGTACCTTTACAGAAATATTATATTAAGGTACGTTTCATTTGGAAAAGTTGGCCACCTATTAAAGGTAGAAGTGTGAGATACCATATTTTCCCTAAACGATAATCTCTGTCCAAACAAGCAAGTGATATTTTCTTTCAACAAAAGAAACATCTGATGGCAGATAAAGATTTTAGCATTTTACATTAAATATTAACATTTTATTATCAGGATGAGACGTTAAACCAAGGTCTGTCTGCCTGTTCGTGTGGACGTTAAAGATCCCATGACACTATCCAAAAAGAGAAAGGAGTTCATCCCGGTCGTCTGACCAATAATCCCCAGGTAAAACTGATCATTCACTTCCCAGCTGTCTGAGGGACATTGCTGTATGCAAATTGACTACTGTTTTTGCCTACAAATATACAGTTACTAGATTTCACAGGACAACCTGTGTAGTCTTTTGAGAAGTTCTGACGATGTGATAAGATGCTATTTGAAATGCAAGCATTATTTTAAAATTATCTAGTAACAGTGAAAGCTGACATCTTGTTGGAAGCAACTGACAAAAGATCTACTTTTCTTATGACTAGCTTATAAAGTCAAGCTGGTAATATCTTATGGTTTAGACTTCCTGTTATATTCAAAACATGTTAAAGTTAAATGAATGAGCATTTTTTGTATATCATGGTTTGAGACAAATCAGCAAAAAGAAGATTTTCACAGACCGTAAACCATGTTGCCCACAGTAATAAAATATTTGAAGCATCAAATGCTTAAAATTGAAGTGGGAGACACCAAAAAAAGACAAATAACTTAGTTTTATTCCTACCTTGTCATGCATTAAAGCTGCAATGTGAGTAGTCTTTCCACCCGGAGCTGCACAGATATCCAATATCCTTTCCCCAGGTTTAGGATTTAACACATGACTCACTACCACAGATGGCAGGTTCTCACCATGAAGAAAAATAAAATATCAGTTTTAAATTTGTTATACATATTTTTGGATTATACATATTCAAAGTTACGCAACTACTTCAACACCTCTTTAACGCAATACACTATGTAATAATAATAATAAACCTTGCATTTGATATAGCGCTTTTCAAGTCTTCTAGACGTCTCAACGCACTTCACAGAATATACTGTAAAGTGAATTGGCTGTATATTTGTGAGAAAAACGCAGCAGCCAATTGCGCACAGCAGTGTCCCACAAACAGATGTGGATTGAAGTGACTAATTTTATTATTGTTTATTTTCTTGACATGTCTGAATGTCAAACGTAATAATACAAAATAACCTTGTTCAAGGTCCATCTCAAGACTGCACTTTCAGTCATCTTTCTCCTTGGCTCCCACCACCAGCTCAGATTCCCAGCTAGCAGTGTCGAGCATTTTGGGACCTGAAGTGTGCTATACAAATGCAAATTGTATTGTATTGTTCTGGCTTCCAGTATCGACTATCTGACTACCTATGCAAAAACTTGACTAGCTTCCATGTTGTCAGGTTGCCATTCATGTCTGTCGCCAGGGATCCCTCTGCCTCCTCATCTCCTGGACCTCTTGGCTGCGTTCGACAGTCGACCTCCTCCACTACCTCATGTCAAGAATTCATCAAATGTTAATGGCATTTGTACAGGTCTTCCAGTCAGACATAGATTTTTGAAAAACAAGCATGACCAGAGCATTATGAGCATTATGAGCATTATTACTCCAGGTATCAATCTTGTGACTGTTCACAATGTTTATTCTTAGCTAACAACAACAACTTGCATTTATATAGCTCGGAAATGAAATGCTCGGAGACGCTACTCCGCATGAAGGGTGCTATATAAATGCAAATTGTTGTTGTTAGCTAAGCTTATTAATAAACATTGTGAACAGTCACAAGATTGATATCTGGAGTAATACGCTGGTCATAATGCTCTGGTCATGCTTGTTTTTCAAAAATCTATGTCTGACTGGAAGACCTGTACAAATGCCATTAACATTTGATGAATACTTGACATCTGTGGAAGGTTGAGGACAAGTCTTTACCTCAACCAAGGTTAACCAAGATAAACAATGATTGAATAAAAGGACGCTGTATCTGTTGCTTGAAAGATTAGAAATCCAGACTTACCTGTAAAAACACAAAACCAGGCAGGAGATTATCAAAGGATGGACTCATGTAGACAGCTTCTGTCATTCTAATTCCAATACCTCTGAGAATAAATAAAAAAAAAGAAAAATATACTCTATATCTTTAATATCATAAAAATAATTTTTAAAAAATCCTATATTAAGACGGCCTATAAGAAATTTCGACAATTCGCCTCAATCTTAAATTTTAAGATAAAATGGTCTTATAGACTAAGACTAGGCAGATCGCCAGGCCTTTTAATTTCTAGAATTGCAAACTTCCCTACCCTCCACCCCTCTTGATTCCAACTCCCAGCTCGCGCTTCGCCCACAAAATATAGTCCATTCACTTTACAATATATTCTGTGAAGCGTTTTGAGATGTCTCAGCAGCATGATAAGGCGCTATGTCAAATGTAAGGATTATTATTATGTTATAATTATATATTATTATTATACATTATATAACTGTCCGGTGCCTTGGGACATCCTTCCGACATGAAAAGAGCTATATATGCAAATTGTTACTGTATGTTAGGACCATTTAATTGAATAAATGTAACCAATCTAAACTATTACCAAACTACAAAGTCAATTGTATTTCTATCTGTACATAAGAGATACAGCACTGCTTTTTCGGTGAGCAGTCGGCCAGCTTTCTGCAGTGACATTACCAGTCATGTGATCAATGTCACAACCTGGCATAAACCGGAGCATATTCTCAGCGCACTCTGTTAAAGCTGATATTTTCTGGATTCCAATTGTCACATTATAATGGGGTTCTCCTGGATATTCTACTCCATGCTTGTACATTAACCAACAGGCAAATTATATGAGATTACCATGGGACATTTAATAACAATAATCCTTCCATTTGATATAGCGCTTTATCACACTGTGTACTTTGTGGTGAAACGTGGCAGCCAGTTTGCATACAGCAATGTCCCACCAACAGCTATGGAATGAGTGACCAATTTTATTTGGGGGATTGTTGGCCAGGACACCAGGAGAAATTCCCTTCTCTTTTTGTATAGTGTTAGGATCTTTAATATTTATCTGAACAGGCAGACGTTCAACATCTCAGGCAAAACAGTTTAACGCCTCCGAGGGATGCCATCTCTGACAATTCAAATGCATCCCAACACTGCATTGGACTGTCAGCTTAGACTACGTTCACGTCCTGACGTAGGGCTTGATCCCACATTCTTCTGATTTGGAGATGAAATTAATACCACTGAGTCAAAGACTTGTAATTTTACATCAATGGAATCCTTTGCACATATTGTATTGTACATATTATTCTGCAAATTTCCTTCCTTGTGCTATCAAGTCTTGCAAGAGGCTTATTAATTGTATACATATGTCCTTTAGTGCTATGCTTCCAGTTCAAAAGAGATATTCTGCTTCATCTACAATCCAGCTTTTCAAATATTTTTTCTCCAGAGCAAACAAGTGGTAGAGCAAAGCTCCCTCTACACCCAACAATCGTCACATTTATATTCAAGGGGATTGCAAAACCAGTTCAAATAGACATCAATCTTCAGTGCTCAGAAGGGACCTCCACTGGAGCTAACTACTCTAATGCCAATTCTTTGATGCTTTTCCACATCATTTAATATTTCTCTTCTTCATTTTTCCGGTTCCCTTTTAAACATTACTATGGTTAACCCATAATACCCAAACATTGTTCCATGATTTTAATCCTGTGCATAACGGGGGGAGTTCATTTGGAATAGATACAAAACCACAACTGCCCACTTCCTTGCAGACTATTTACCTTAAAGTGACACCAGAACAGAATACTTGATCGCGGCTTAGTTCGGCAATTCCATTCCCCACAAACACTTTAGGTCCCGTAAATTCTTTCGCTCCTCTTTTGCATTTCCCATCAATGTCTGAATAAACAGAAACCACAGCACCAACTTTCATAACTGAAACAAAAATAAAAAGTTAATATTGTAATATCAACAACAACAAGAATCCATTTATAGAGCGCCTTTCACATCGGGAGGACGTCCCAAGGCACTGGTCTGTGGACAAATAAATATCACATTAAGAAAGACATTTTATGATTTTTGAGTGAACTATCACATCATGTTTAAGTTAAATATGGTATCACCCGATGACATTAGGTCATCTCCAGGCTTTAATTTACATTCTGAAATGTTTCTTATACAACCATCGTAGAGTCCTGTATCTCAGTGGTTAGAGCACTCGCCTTGCAAGCAAGACATCCGGGTTCAATTCCAGGCAGGGTGAAACCTTGGGCAAGTTTCCTTACTCCACACGCCTAATAATAATTCCACCAAAACAAAAAAATAATAAATTGGTCATTTTCAATCCACGCCTGTTTGTGGGACACTGCTGTGCGCAATTGGCTGCCACGTTTCACCCACAAATATAGTCAATTTACTTTACAGTCTTCACTTTACTGCGCTTGTGAAAGTCACAAACGACATCCTCTCTATCTGTGACCAGGGCTCCCTCTGCCTCCTTGTCCTCGTGGACCTTTCCGTCCCGTTCGACAGTCGATCACGCCATCCTCCTCCACCGCCTTTCCTCCGTCATCCACTTCAGTGGGACCGCACTCGCCTGGTTCGAGTCCAACCTCATGAACTGTCAGCAGGACATCTGCATAAACGGCTTCTCCTCCCGCTCTCACCCGTTTACCTGTGGGGTACCCCAAGGATCCATCCTTGGTCCCCTCCTCTTTCTGATCTACATGCTCCCTCTTGGGGATGTCATCCGCAGACATGAGGTACATTTCCACATGTATGTGGATGACACCCAACTCTATTTTTCCACCTCTCGTTGCGACCCCCAGTCCTCTGATGTTCTGTCAGACCTCAGGGTCTAGATGAGCGCAAATTTCCTTCAGCTGAACGCTGACAAGATGGAAGTCATACTCTCTGGCTCTTGTCAATGTCTAAAATCTCACGATTCTCACCTCCTCCACCTACCCGACCTCCCACTAAAACTCTCCAAACCCGTACGCAACCTAGGCATTAAGTTCGACCCCCAATTATCGTCCCTCACCAGCACCGCTATCTTCCATCTCCGAAAGCCGCTGAAACCCTGATCCATGCCTGTCACCTCGCAGCTGGACTATTCTAACGCCCTCCTCGCTGGTCTCCCCTCCACTACCATCCATAAAATCCAGATTATTCAAAACTCTGACGCCCACATTCTCACCCGCACAAAACTCCACTCCCCGATTACTCGTCCTTGCCAGACTGCACTGGCTGCCTGTCCCAGAGAGGATGGACTTCAAGATCCTCAGCCTTGTCTTCAAATCCCTCCACTCCTCTGCACCCCCCTACCTCTCTGACCTCCTCTGTCCTCAAAACAGTGCCCGTTGCATTCGTCCTCCGGGTCTGGCCTCCTCGTCCTCCGTGCCTTCAGCCACTATGCCCCGAGGCTCAGGAACTCCCTTCCTCACTCCCTTCGCCTCGCCCCCTCTCTTCCTATGTTCAGGTCATTGCTGAAGACCTTTCTTTTCGACCGCGCCTTTGGTCACCATCCTCCCCCTTCTCCTGGCTCAGCCCCGGGATCCGTTACTGTGAAGCGCTGAGACGCCGTCCGGCGTGGAGGGCGCTATACAAATCCAACTTGTTGTTGTTGTTATGCTGTGAAGCGCTTTGAGACGTCGAGAAGACGTGAAAAGCACTATATCAAATGCAAGGATTATTATTATAACCATTGACATAAATGAACAATCTGCAACCTTCTATTATGTAACTGGCTAGGTGGTTAGATGTGCAAATAGATCCAATGGTGACTTCTCAAATATTGTGGTGGAATAATAACTTATATCCATCAGAGTCTGACTGAAATAAGAAATTTGCCATAGCAGGAAGAGAAATCCAACAGTATACCCCCATTATGTCCAATTGCCATAAACCATTTCACTTAAAAGGGAACTGGATTTATTTGCAGAAAAACTATAACTATATAAGGGATCAAGGAAATAACAGGAAATTGGGAATAGTGTATATAGCTCCAGTGGAGTAGCTTCAAATATACTGCTTGCATTTATACTTCAGTGAAATAAATCCATTTCCTCCCAAATCATCTTTACTGGCTGTCAAAAAACAGATCACTTTGCAAACATGTGCCATAACCCTGAGGTAATAACAACAACAAAATTACATTTGTAAATACTGCATCTTTAGCATTGGTTTGACACTAAATTGTGTGTTGAATCAATAATGTTCAGGCCAAGTAATTGGATATTGGAATGATCACTTGGATTTAACCATAAATTTAAGCTTTTATTTTCAACAAAGGAGGGTTTAAGAAAAAGGTGGAAGTTAACTAGCAAATTGCTACTTACATTTTGGTGCTGACAGAATGCCAGGAGCAAAAACATGGGCTCCGCGAAGCACAGCATTTCCACACTGAGCTCCCACAATCACTTCAGAGGAGTGCCTATGTAGATTTATTCTGAAAATAGTGATAACACACATTTGCAAATAAAGTTGCCGAGGTTGCCTGAGGATTTCATTCATGGCCTTCAATTCTTACTCGTTGCAAAATAACTTTCTATTTTACCCACAAAATACTGTATAAGAATAATAATCATTGCATTTTATGTAATGTCTTATCATGTTGTGGAAATGTCTCAAAGGGCATCTCAGGACATACTGTAAACAACAACAAATTACATTTGTATAGTGCCTTTCCCGTCAGGAGACACTGGACAATCACTGATTTGGACCTGAGCAGGGGGTTGGCATCAGAGGGTTGGAGGACAGGGAGGATTGGGCCAATGCTCAGTCAAAGAGAAGGATTTTGAGACGTTCTTTGAAGGAGGCAAGGGAGGGAGCAAGATCAAGGTTCCAAAGCCTTGAAGTTCATGTATTTTGAACTCTATCCTCTGGGGCATCATCGTCCAACAGTTAGCCAGACCTGGCCTGGTGGGTGGTGGTGGGGGGAGGGATGGAGGGAGGGGGGGGGAAAGAGAGTGGGGGAGGGGGTGCGGAGAGGGAGGGGGTGAGAGGGAGGAGGGTGGAGAGGGAGGGGGGGACGTCAATGAGTCTCTACAAGGAGATGGCAAGGAGGTGGAGCTGGGAGGTAAGGAGGAGGGTAGGGATAAGGTCAAGGAAGCAGGTGGTGGTTTAAATTTGGTTTATGATGATGGTCAGAGGGGGAGACAGGTTCGAAAGTGTGGTGGGAGGGATGGGAAGGTCAGTGTGAGGTGGAGATGGGGATGGGGTAGCAGTTGGAAGGCCAGAGGTGGTTATTTTCATTTAATATGTTATATTTTTCCCACATATCAAGCAAGAAATAATTGGGATTTTTGTACTTCAATACCAAATCGCCCTCCATCAAAACTATCTGATTTTTAATTTTCAAATGCTAAATAGTTAACAATTTTCCATGCAAAATATCACCACACCAACATACCTGGGCCCAATAACAGGAATTAGTAAAACATCTGGAAGTTTTGGATGCTCTAATACTGGAATGCTGTTCGTGGTCCATTCCTTAAATTGCTGTGTAAATAAACACGATTAATATGTAAAACTTTTTTTAAAAATAATAAATAATACACTTGCACCTGATAACATAACATCTTATGTTGAAATGTTTCAAGTGAAAAATTAACCAGGAGATGCAAGTTGTAGGCTAACAATGTTTTCAACATTACTCACTTTTAGCTGGAAGTTGCAAATTCCAAATTAAATGGAAATATTATACTTTAGAGCAATGATTGTACGTTAAATACTATAATATAATGGTAACTGTTCGAAAAGACAATGTTCTTCTGAAAGGCATGCATTTAAGTCAGTTTTAAGTCAGCTGCCATTTCATGTAGGTAATAAGTATGTAAATTATGAGCTACAGATGATAATCATATTGGGGTTGGAAAGTGGTAGCAAGACTTCCATCTTGGCAGCAGAAAAAGCACCTGCGCGAATAACCCACGTCTTTGCCAGTGAAACCCCTGTGTACACACTGACTTGTGAAACCTTAACGCTGACCAAGATAACCTTGAGGACTTGGCAGTTACGGTGATGTACCAAATGTTCTCTACAATAGACAGTTCATGTCACAAAGAGCCTTGTTTAGCAGTTGGTTATCTGGGCCAATAGAAAAGTGAGGCTGCACTTTTCCCATGGAATCCGCTACAAACACCCTCCTCTGCTCCAAACCCGTGTGCCTGGCGCTCTGTCTGTGCCCGTACGTGTGTCTGTCGCTCTATCTGTGCTCGTGTCTGTAGCCCTGTCTGTCCGTGTGTCTGTCGCTCTGCTGTGCGTACGTGTGTGCCTGGCGCTCTGTCTGTGCCCATGTGTGTCTGTCGCTCTGCCTGTGCGCGTGCCTGGCGTTCTGTCTGTGTCCGTGCGTGTGTCTGTTGCTCTGTCTGTGTCGCTCTGTCTGTACCTGGTGCCGTCTGTGCATGTGCGTGTGTCTGTCGCTTTGTCTGTGCGCATATGTGTGTCTGGCGCGGTCTGTGCCCGTGAGTGTGACTGTCGCTCTGTCTATGCGTATGCCTGTCGCTCTGTCTGTGCGCCTGCGCGTGCCTGGCGCTCTGTCTGTGGCCGTGCGTGTGTCTGGCGCTCTGTCTGTGCGCGTGTGTGTGCACGTGCGTGTGCCTGGCGCTGTCTGTGCACGTGCATTGGCAGTAGAATGTACATCAATAGCACCAACCTTCTCCCGCAATTTCCCGCACAATGAACAAATCTCCCTGCAATTTTTGGCAAATATTTCTGTACATTTCTATTGGCCCAGGTCATCAGCAACTATTCGTTTCTTGAGCAATTTTTTTTCAACTGTATTATGAAATAAAATCCTTGAGTATGAACCAACTTGAAAGGAGACAAACCTTTTGGATCTCTTCAATCAACAGCTTTTTAACATGGCCAATTGTGGCCAGGCAGGTATTGACTCTGACACTTGTGAAAGCCGGAGGATGTGACAAACGACTTAACAGGGCTTCAAACTTAATCTCAGTCTCCTCAGATCCCAAAGTTGCCAGAAGCTAAATAAAAATGAACATCTACAAATTAATAAAATAGTGATTCAAAGCAGGATCCTCTAACAATTGCAATAAGGTTTGATACGATGTCTACTTGGATTTATATACCTTCTTAATTTTTAAATTAGTCCACCATATCTTCAGTAAATTCAAACAATAATCTAAAGAAAAACACCAACTTCCTGTGGAGTAGACACAATTCTTGAACCCCACAGCAAAACTGTATTTTTAAACTGTTACTTTAGGTTTTTTTTCAACAAATACAGTAGTGTCAAAGGGTTCTCTAAATAACCTCTTGAAATAAATAATAATCCTTACATTTGATATCGAGCCTTGTCACATCTTCGAGGCTTCTCAAAGCGCTTCACAGAATATACTATAAAGTGAATGGGCTGTATATTTTGTGTGTGAAACGCTACAGCCAAGTGACCACATTTTTTTAAAAAAGGATTTGCCGATTGACTAAAAAGCGTGTTCCTATTTCCTGCTAGGTAAACAGACTTGTGGAGTAAGGAAACTTTCCCCATGTTTTACCCTACATGGAAACTGAACCCAGATTCTCTTGCTTGCGAGGTGAGTGCTCTAACCACAGAGCTACAGGATGCCACAATTGGCAAACCCTCACCTTTGGGTCACAACGTTGTGAGGGTAAGGCCACGTCGGGACTCTGAGGTAACACTCTCGGCTGATACAGTAGTGCAGTACAGACGAAGTGTTCCATTGTTGGGTTGATCATTCAGCTGGGGGGAGGGGAAGAGAGGTAAATGGGATCTTCTTTGAACTGTAACTGAGTTGGCTCCAAGGTGATGTGCTTGGCAACGGAATGTCAGAATTGAGTTAACTAACTGCAGCAGTCTCAACAATCCAGTTCCTAAGTCGTGTAGGTTTGCTGTACTCCAGGGCAATGCTGATGACAGACCAGCCAGCCAGACTCATAGGCAGGACTTGGGAGGGATAGACCAGTCACTTGGAGCGGGGATGTTTCCCATTTGGAGAGAGAAAACATTCCATTCCAGTCACAGGGAAATCTCCACGTATGGCTGGCATATATATGTGAAACTCTGGTTTGAGTTTTCTTAAACAAGATTCCACATGTGTCAGCCATCAGGTGAACCAAAAAAATTACATTGTTGGAATGTCATTCTCCAGATGAGATGTTAAGTAGAGGTCCCATCTGCTGTTTATGTGCATGTTAAAGATTGCAATTCGAAAAGAGAAAGCAGTCTTTCCCCGGCTGACAATCCTCCAGATAAAATTGGACATTCATTTTACAGCTGTTTATGGGGCATTGCTATAAGGACAGGTAACTGGGGTTGAGGTAGATCACCCATGATCTTATAGAATGGCGGAACAGGCTCGAGGGGCTGAATGGCCTATTCCTGTTTCTATGAACTTCAAGCTATGGAACAATTCATCAGATAGATGAAAAACAATAGGGCATCCTAATATACAATAGGACATCCTAACTATACAATATAGAGTCGGACGATATACGTCATGTGATTGCCAGGATGGTGGCAGGCGACTGGATAGACCTTGGTCTTCCTTTGACTAGCAAATTCTTATGTTCTTATCCAAACTCAGTGAGTGGCCAACATACAAAAAAATATTAATAATGTCAAAGGATGAAAAATTTAATTTATAATATGCTTAACAATATTTTGCAACCAATTCTAATTTATTCCTTAGGTTTCTGAAGAGTTTGCGCGATGTTCAAATAGGCCAAAGGGCCTTCTTCACCATTCTGTACCTCTCTTGTAATAAGTACTGTATGATTTTGTAATATTCATTTTGCGTAATTTGTGTTATTAATTTAAAAACTGCAAGTTAACTTGTAGATTAACAGGGCACAAATTTTTAAAGTTTTCTAACAATTTCCAAAAAGCACTAATAATTGCAATAAGACCTTACCTCTCGATTTGTAAACACATTTCGGAGATATTCTTCAACCTCAGACTTCAGAGAAATTTTGGGAAATACAGGAACCATTTCTACTTATTCATTCACCTCACAACAGCCAAAGGTTCATCACTGAAATAAAATGACGATAAATTAATATAATTAACGTATATAGTATTAAACACTATGCAGAAATGAGCTTCATTACTGACTTATTATTTCATAAATTCAATGTGCTACAAATCTTGATCAGCGGCAACAATGAAAACTACTTGCAGTGATTTATTTTTCATGAAATTCTGCCCCCCATTTACATAGAACTATGAAAGCATATATCTGAAAAAACTACGTCACAATTGAATTCTTGATCAAATAACTAATTTCTTCTAAAATTTTCTGACATAATTTGCTGTAGGCTGTCTGTAGGATGTATATTCCCTACGCTACCATGAACTGTCCATCTTCCTTCTTCTGAGTCTGAAGTTGTGTATTTTGTTTCACAGTCCAGTGTTCCAGATTGTTTTCATGATTACACAAATTTTCAGTTATGTTTAGTCATGCCCTTTAAGATCTAAATAGCTTAAGAGGTTCTTCCCTGAGCTTTCTATTTCGTGTCAACCTTTCCAACTTACATAGCATTGCTGTATGCCCTCCAATATCAAGATGTCCTTACTGTAATAAAGCAACTAGTATTCAGGATTATTCAGGACTCCATGTGGAGGTAGACCAACACCTATACCACTTCATTAATAACTGCCTGTGACATATTCTCTGACTTTAGCTATCTTTAAGTTGTCTTGCTTCTTTTAAGTGCTGTGAATTCAGTGATTCAATCTCAGCTGGAGTATTGCACCAATTTATGCAACACATACAAACAGTAATTTTCAAGAGATTACCCTGCAACTTTACTTTTTTTGTTATCGAGGTGTGCAGCTTGAAATATGTATTCAGGTTCAGAATTTGCAAGTCTGTCTGTATACTATTTCAGTGCAGGAATCCCAGTCAAACACAATTTCAAAAATGAATTACACATGAAAGCAATTTAACTCTAGCAGTGTTGAAAACAGATGCTCCAACCAAGAGAATATAACACTTTTAAAATATAATTAAAATATGAGGGTTTTTGTTAAAATCAAGTTTACTTCAACTCAGTACTGTATCAGAAAACAGTCAGTTTGAAGGGTTTGAAGTATTTCAACTCGAATCTTCTAAAGCTCACATACATTTGGAACAAATTTAACAACCTTCTCTGCAAGTCAATTTACTCTTTGAGGGACAACCCGCTTGTGCATTTTTCAACTTGCACATTGCAATACTACTTTATGAATGATTAGGGTTGATAAATCGTAAGAATATTTGGTTATCTTAATCTTTTAGATTTTTCAGACTTGGGGTAAAGACACAACACAGCTTTAAGGAAAACAAAAAAAATTCAACAAACTAAATATGCCATAAATCTTTCATTCGATAAAGCACATCGAAACGTCTCAAAGGACTTCATATTAGTTTTGCTGCAAAAGTGTAGTGACTGTGTACTTGTAGGCGAACAAAACACGGCAACCAATTTGCACCAGCAAAATCCCACAAACAGCCAGGGAATGAGTGCCCGATTTTACTCATTCCAACGGGGGGGTATCGTTGGCCGGGATACCGGGAGAAACTCAGACTGAACCCTCTCAAAGTCCCGACTCGGGGCTGGAACCCCAAAACCTCGTGGCTCCGGGACGCAACCCTGCGTGAAGGGGGCTATAATATAATATAAATGCAAGTTGTTGCTGTTGACTCAAGAGTACCATTTGACACATTATTACACGGACTGCCCCTCCTCTTCGGCCGTGCTTTCCATCTCCCCGCCCTCCCTCCCCCCCTCCCCGCCCCTCAGCTCAGGTCCGAAACACAAGTCTGTCCGGCACCTTGGGACGCCCTCCCGATGTGAAAGGCGCTTTGCGCAAATGTACTGTTGTTGTTGTGGTTGCAGCAGCTCTGGAGGGTTGATGAACACTTACGACATCGTTTGCACCAGCAACAAAAAAAAAACACCTCAATCGAGCGTCAAGCGGCTTAAACACACAGCGCGGGGATCCCGATTCCACATGTGCTCCACGCTGACACCGAGAACGTTTTTTTTCCCCCTCATGAAAAGAAACTGCTGCCCCAACCCTGTCAGCAAGCAAACCAAATTGGCCGCGGAGGGAGGGAAGGAGGGAGGGGAGGGAGTCACTCAAACCGTCACCTCCCCGTTCAAATCTACCGACTCTCAACCGCCACCATCGCTCGCTCGCGCTCACTTCGCCTCTAACCGGGAGACCCGCGCATGCGCCGTGCCGAGCCACTCGCGAGCGAGGCCCGCGCGCATGCGCCGCCACGCTCGGCGGCTCCGGCACACATGCCTTCAACGGACATCAAAAGCCGTAAGCCCCGCCTCCTCTCGGACTCTCCGGCTCCCTGAATGGTTCGCTCGACTGTCAATCAAACGACGCTGCTTCGAGCGCCGTCCAATCAGAAACACGCAGAGAGGAAGCCCCGCCCCATGAATTGGCAAGTTGCAGCTCATCATCCATAAATGTTGTCAATGAGACCAGACCATCACCAGCCCTGTTCTGATGAAGGGTCGTGGGCTCAAAACATTAACTCACTTTCCTTTCTCCATGGATGCTGGCTCTCCTGCTGAATGTTCCCAGCGACTTCTGTTTTCCTTTCAGATTTCCAGCATCTGCAGTATTTGGTGTTTTGTTGACAACAACAAATTATACTTGTATAGCACCCTTCACATCGGAAAGATGTCCTGGGGCGCTGGACAATTAAAGGTTTTGAACCCGAGCTGAGAGTTGGGATCAGAAGGGGAGAAGGGCAGGGGTGGGAGGGTGGCTGAAGGCATGATCGATGAGGAGGGTTCTTCAGATGGGACTTGGTGGAGGCAAGAGATGGGGTGAGTTGGGGGGATTGTGGTAGAGTTCCAGAGTGTGGGGGCAGAGGTGCTGAATGCCCGACTGCCAATGGTGGAGCGGGAAGTGCGGGAGACCTGAAGCAGGCCGGGGTCTGCCAAGTGGACAGGCTGATATGGGGTTATGAAGTTGGAGAGGTAGGGTGTAGCAAGCCTGTGGAGGTCCTTGAAGGTCAGAAGGTTGGAGTCCTATAGCTCAGTAGTTAGAGCACTCATTACCATGTTGATAATAATAATAATAATCCTTGCGTTTGATACAGTGCTTTTCATGTCTTCTAGATGTCTCAAAGCACTTCACAGAATAGACCGTAAAATGAATTGACCATATATTTGTGGGCGAAATGCAGCAACCAATGGCGAAATGCAGCAACCAATTGCGCACAGCAGTGTCCCACAAACAGTCGTGGATTGAAATGACCAATTTATTATTGTTTGTTTTGAGGGATTATTATCAGGCGGTAAGGAAACTTGCCCAAGGTTTCATCCTGCTGGGAATCGAACCCGGGCCTCATAAGAGAACAGAGAATCGACTGAAAATGATGGGTTTCCACTCACCATAACAACAACTTGGATTTATATAGTGCCCTCCACGCCGGACAGCGCCTCAGCTGCGTTTCACAGTAACGGATCCCGGGGCCGAGCCGTAGGGAGGGGGAGGACGGTGACTGAAGGCGCCGTCGAAAAGAAAAGTCCCGGCTGAATGCAAACGTGATGCGTTAGTATTACAGGATCTATATCAAACGTGATAAGGAGGCGGTGGAGAGCCTGATGGTGTTTGTTTGGTAAGTAGATGGAGGAGGAGGAGGCAGCGTGCGCCGTGACGTTACAACAATAAGGCGGAGGAGGCAGCGTGCGCCGTGACGTTACAACAATAAGGCGGAGGAGGCAGCGTGCGCCGTGACGTTACGACAATGAGGCGGAGGAGGCAGCGTGCGCCGTGACGTTACGACAATGAGGCGGAGGAGGCAGCGTGCGCCGTGACGTTACGACAATGAGACGGAGGAGGAGGAGGCGGCGGCGGCGTGCGCGACGACGTCACGACAGTATGGTGGCGTGCGCGTTGACGTCGGCTATGCCAGTGGCGGCTCGCGGCGCCGCTCGCGGGATAACAGATTCAAACGAGCCGCGGAGAGAAGGGCGGTCGTTAAAGCCGGACGCCGAGCCGTTCGGCTCCGTCGAATGACATGCGGCCCCGGCGCGCCGCGTCGTTGGCGGCTTTGGGTGTGTGAGTGAGTGAGTGAGAGAGAGAGGAGAGCTCGAGCTCTTCGCGGTGGACGGCGCTCACCCCCTCCCTCCCCTCCCCCCCCCCCCCCCCCCCCCCCCCGGACAGCCAGGGTTCAACCGGTAAATCGTGGAGCGGGGCCGGGGAAGAGGTGTGGAAGCCGGGAGCCGGCGCTGGCAGCTGTGGCCGAGGCGCCCGCCCGCGCCCCCCCCGACATGGGGCTTTTGTTCTCCAGGTTTCGGAGCTTCTTTTGTAACCAAGGTAGGTTCCAGCTGTCGAGGCTCCCTCCCTCCTCCCCCCCTTTCCCCCCTTCCTCCCCCCCCCTTTCCCCCTCTCCTCCCCCCTTTCCCCCTCTCCCCCCCTTTCCCCTCTCCCCCCCCCTTTCCCCCCTCCCTCCCCCCCTTTCCCCCTCCCCCCCTTTCCCCTCCCCCCCCCTTTCCCCCTCCTCCCCCTTTCCCCCCTCCCTCCCCCCCTTTCCCCTCTCCTCCCCCTTTCCCCCTCCCTCCCCCCCTTTCCCCTCTCCTCCCCCTTTCCCCCCTCCCTCCCCCCTTTCCCCCCTTCCTCCCTTCCCCCCTTCCCCCTCTCCTCCCTCCCCCCATCTGTTTGCTCTGAGGTCTGGTCTGTGGTTGCGTTATAACCAGAGCTCTCTTTCCCCCCCTCCCTCCCCCCCCCCAAGTCCCTCACCCTCTCACCTCCCCAAGTCCCTCACCCTCTCACCTCCCCAGTCCCTCACCCTCTCACCTCCCCAGTCCCTCACCCTCCCCCCCAGTCCCTCACCCTCCCCCCCAGTCCCTCACCCTCCCCCCCCCAGTCCCTCACCCTCCCCCCAGTCCCTCACCCTCCCCCCCCCAGTCCCTCACCCTCCCCCCAAGTCCCTCACCCTCTCACCTCCCCCAGTCCCTCACCCTCTCACCTCCCCCAGTCCCTCACCCTCCCCCCCCAGTCCCTCACCCTCCCCCCCCAGTCCCTCACCCTCCCCCCCCCAGTCCCTCACCCTCCCCCCCCCAGTCCCTCACCCTCCCCCCCCAGTCCCTCACCCTCCCCCCCCCCAAGTCCCTCACCCTCTCACCTCCCCGAGTCCCTCACCCTCTCACCTCCCCGAGTCCCTCACCCTCTCACCTCCCCAAGTCCCTCACCCTCTCCCCCCCCCCAGTCCCTCACCCTCTCACCTCCCCAAGTCCCTCACCCTCTCACCTCCCCAAGTCCCTCACCCTCTCACCTCCCCAAGTCCCTCACCCTCTCACCTCCCCCATGTTATTCCAGTTGAATCTCAGTGAACACGAGTGAGTTTGCTGCTGGAGGGTATGGTATGGACTCCCCCCCCCCCCCCCACCACACCCCCCCCTCCCACCTCTCCCAGGACCGAGCTGCAAATGCAAATATTAAACAGGAGCAATTTTGTCAAGGTGGGGAGAGGAGGGAAGGGATGGTGGTGGTGGTGGATGGAGAGCGAAATCTAAATTCCTTGAAATGCTGATTTTTTTTTTGGCGAAAAGCAAATAAAAGAAAAATGTCAATGGAGAATTCGGTATATAAGAAATTTGGAAAACAATGTGTGTGTGGGGGGGTGGTGTGGGTGTGTGTGTGTGTGTCTCACTTTGTTTTTGGCCAAGTTTTAGATTGCTTCTCGTTTAGTCCTGTAGCTCAGTGGTTAGAGCACTCGCTTTGCAAGTGAGAGACCTGAGTTCAATTCCAGGCAGAGGGCGAAACCTTGGGCAAGTTTCCTTACTCCACACAGAGCCTAATAATAATCCCTCCAAAACCAAAAACAATAATAAATTGGTCATTTTCAATCTACGACTGTTTGTGGGACATTGCTGTGCGCAATTGGCTGCCGCGTTCGCCCACAAATATACAGTCAATTCACTTTACAGTGTGTTCTGTGAAGCGCTTTGAGACGTCCTCCCGACGTGAAAAGCGCTATATCAAATGCAAAGATTATTATTATTATTAGGGATAGGGTTCGCTGCGACTCAGTCGTGCCTTTTTCGGTGTTTGTGTAAGGAGCGAATGAGAGGTTTCTGACTGGAGTGAGGGGGGGGGAAACAGTTTTCCTTCACCTTGTCTTCCCTGTGGGGGGGGAATTAATTGTGGAAACTGCTCCAGCACCTGTCGAGATTTGGTGACTTTTGCAACTCCTGAGCCCAAACTCTTGTCGCTGCTGTGATGGCTTTGGAACGAGCCCCAGGCTGCTGGGGCTCCTGTGAGACTCGGTTATGTGTTAACATGTTTGATGAAATGTTAGTGCTCGGGAATTGGAGAGCTTTGGTCACCCAGTCAGCATTGGCATCAAAATTATCTCTGTTAATAGAGAACATGCAACAGATGTTGGTACATACGTTATAATAATAATAATAATAATAATCCTCGCATTTGATGTAGCGCTTTTCACGTCGGGAGGACGTCCCAAAGCGCTGCACAGAACACACTGTAAAGTGAATTGACTGTATATTTGTGGGCGAACGCGGCAGCCAATTGCGCACAGCAATGTCCCACAAACAGTCGTAGATTGAAAATGACCAATTTATTATTGTTTTTGGTTTTGGAGGGATTATTATTAGGTGTGTGGAGTAAGGAAACTTGCCCAAGGTTTCGCCCTCTGCCTGGAATTGAACTCAGGTCTCTCGCTTGCAAAGCGAGTGCTCTAACCACTGAGCTACAGGACGCCACAAATTGTGTGTGTTGTAGAACTAATACAATTAGCCGCAATACAATTTATATTTCTATAGGACCTTTCATGTCGAGATGATATCTCAAAGCACTTGACGCCGCTGGGTTGAGGGTGGGAGCTAAAAGGGATCCAGGAGGGGGAAGATGAACAAAAGTGCGATTGGTTTCAAAGAAGTACATCTTCAGACGAGCCTCGAACGAGGAAGGAGTGAGGCAGGATTGACTCTGGGATGATGTTCAGAGAGCAGAATGTGGATCTGTAACTCTTGAGCTCCTGACATTATATAATTTGTCTGTTGCTGGGTAGATCTTGGAGAATCAAATAACTTGATGGCTGGGAGGGTCAGTACGAGCCTGTGCACGAACAAAACCTATCTGGTCAGAGTGAGTCCTCATTTTGCTCACGGTCAGATCATGATGGTTCCTGATACTGTACCAGTGTAGCAATAGTGACAGTTTTTGCTGCCAGTGGAGGCGTTGAGAAAATTTCATGCAAGCCTCAGCATCTTTTGGAGGGTCTCCAAATAGGTATCAGAATCATACTTTCATTGATTAAGTTTTAGAGGTGGAAAAGCACTGTGTTGACAGTCTGCATCACTTAGATGTATTGCTTATATTTTTACATTTCACTTGGGAGAGTAAGTTTAACCCAACTAAAGAAAATTCTACTGTTATCCTGGTAGCTCAGCTGGGCATACAGCCTGGGAAGTTCTGGGATTCATCTCAACCACAGTATATTTGGGGTTTTACAATTGGCAACAGATCTCTAATCAGATGGATCAGGAATGGGGCAAAATGGCCAGTTGTTCTACTTCTGATTATTAACTGTAACCAGTTACCTTTGTGTGGACCATTGTCATTTATCCATTGCCAAATTGCCTGCCAATAAATACACTGTCAAAGTTTACATGGGAATAATGGCCAATTGAATGAGAGGATATCTGTCATTCATTGAAATAAGTAATTCCAATACTCGAAAAGCAGCCTCATGGAGATCTGCCACATTAATTGGCAAAGACTTGCTTGGATGACTTATCTGCCCCGTCTCCCTTGTTCACTATCCAATCCCTCCACTGTACAGCTCTCCGAGGTGCTATCCTGTGTGTGTTTGATACCTTTTAGTTCAGCGTCAATCCACTGAGATGCTACCTGAGTGAAAAGTGCTATCTAAATGCAGGTTCTTGTAGATTGCAACTGAGTTGCATTTTCAACAATTATTATTTGTGATTGTGCAAAATATTGTTTTACAGAACATAAAGTTATAATAGTTGGCCTGGACAATGCAGGAAAGACTACCATCCTTTATCAATTGTAAGTAATATCTCTTTTGCATGTTTAACAACAAAGTAATAATAATGATGCTTGCATTTGGTATAGTGTGTCATCAAGACTTCTCAAAGTGCTTTACAGGATTTTACTATGAAGTGTAGTGACCATATTTGCAGTCCAACATTCTAGATGTTAACCTTGACCAACATTTGAGATCTTGATTAGATAATTACAGTACAGTATATAGTGTTATAAAAATCAAGATCTTGAATATATTTAGTCTCACATATTTTCCTCCTTACAAGGTAGGAGTTTTCGTTGATGAGATTCCTTAAGGTCACCTTCTCAAGTTTTCTCTGGCCTCATTGTATCTCATTCCAGTCTTTTTTAAAAAAGGGCTGGTGACTTCCATTATATTGTTCTTCACTTGATACCTTCAGTAGGCGTTCCATGTGTATTGTGCTGCATCCTAAAAGAGTAATATCTTTGATTAGTTGGGGATCTTCATGGTCCGTTATGGAAGATATCACTAGGCTTTGCCCTAATGTCTCGCTATGTACTTGAAGTTGCTTTTCCAACACTATTGGGGTATGTTGGACATCTTGGAATCTATTCTTTGTTGCTTTCCATCCCATAAAGTTGTCAGTATTATGGTACTGTTTTTGACGTTTGGCCTTCCCATTCCTTTCTCTCTCTTTGTTCAATTATTAAGGTATATTGCTTATCTTAGAGTGGTGTGTTTTTACTTTTAATATTGTGATGCTGACTTCATAAAATTATGGTCTCGGAACATCATTTCCTCTCCGTCCCCAATTTTGGATGTTACCCATTAATAAATTGTTTCTAGGTTGATTTTGAATAATAAAGTTTATTTTTAAAAAGTAAAATGATACCCATAAGAAAGTCCAATGTTAGAGGTTTGGATTTTGCTGACTTGGCTTCTATTCTTGGATATCAATTTGTGGCTAATGGATATTAATTTCACACTCCATCAGCCTCTAATCATGTAAAAAAAGATGAGAGACTGAGATACAGTTTTTTAAATTTTAACATTGTGATTGCCACCCCTTCCTCTCCCCTCCCCAGTAAAAAGGGTTGCATACTGAAAATGTTGAAATACAGGGTGCTACAAGCCTAGAGCTGTTATGTAATATTTTCTTGTCTTTTAATCGATAGCCATGGAAAGAAAGCAAAAACAAAATTCTGTATTTATTTCAGTTCAGTCAAAATGTGATTGTTAGAATGGCACTCTGCCCTCTCATCTTGGCTAAGGCTTGACAATATTCTTTCAGCGTGAGTAGGTAGTCGAGATCATGAACAATGTTGGAATTCTGAAATATCACTTTGCAGGAAGTTGCAAAACTGTTGGTGCCTAAGCTATTTGTAAGATTGGGCATAAGCTCTACATTCCATTTGTATGCAAAGTTGAATTTCTGTTTCAGCTTTAGTTGAATAGCAATCAGAATATTGAATCCTAAAGAGCTTTCACATGATCAATTTACTCCTCTACACTGTATTAAGGTATCCCCATTCCAATGTTTAATCAAGGACTTAAATGTTATTGATCAAGTTTGCTAACCAGTATTTTACAGAATTCATATTGGTTGATTTAAAATTTCCAAAAGGTTTTTGGTGTTGACTTTTCAAAAGAGCTCCATAATTCAAAATTGTTTTGTTCTCAATTTTAAATAATGATTGAGATATTAGTTGGTAACAGCAGGTTTTTAAACACCCAAAGAGAAAAGTTCCATCTTGACTCTACATTTACTGTATTTATGTGACATTCTGGAGCATCTGGAATTCGGCAACTTGTTGAAATCAGTGTTAACTTTTGAACCTGGTTTCAGCAGCTCTTTGAACTTGTGGAAAAGTATTGTAAGGCTGGATGTAAGAATTTGTCGAATTCTAGATGCTCTAAAATGTTACATAAAAAGAATAAATCTAGACCAAGTGGAATTTCTTCCCATAATATACAACTCTCAACAGTGTTGTTTCCAGAACTGGCACTTACCTCTTTGCAGTCAGTGTGAATCAGTAATTTGACCCAGCAGTAGTTTTACAAGTGCGTGTTTATGTTAGAGGTAATGCATTCAAGAGCTTTATTTCACATTGTTGATGGAAACATTTAAATGTTTGCATGCGCAGCTACTGTCAACAGTATGAAAGAAAACTGCTAGATTGTGACCTTTTTAAAACTGCCTATTACACAAGTTTAGTTCCGCATGTTTTTTGTGGGTCAGCCCGGTGTCTGACACATGCGGAAACCCATCACCATGCTTAAGAGTATCCAGACCAAGCTGAGATTTCCACGCTTCCCACTTACACATGGAAATCCCAGAGATAGATTGTTGGAACGGAATGTGCACTCTCTCCCTGGAGGGACGGATCCTGCTTACTCTTCTTGTTATTACTCTTAAACCTTAAGTAAGTGATCCATAATAATGTACCGCGTAGAAACAATGCAGTTTTTTCACAACACTTATTAATGCTACATTTGTTGAGGGCATATGGCCCAAACAAAAGTAATAACCCTTGCATTTTATACACCATCTTTCATATTGCGAGGACATCTCAAAATGCTTCACAGGATATACTGTAACGTGTGGACTGTATTTTGTAGACTAAATGCGGCAGCTAATTTGCGCACAGCAATGACTTGTATACAGCAATGAAGTGTTTGAGCAACTTTACCTGGGAGATTGTTGGCCAGGACACGAGGAGAAACGCCCTTTTCTTGTTGAATAATCCCTTGGGATCCTTACTGACCACCTGAACATGGGGTCCTCAGCATACTGCATAGGAGTGCCAGCCCAGACTATTTGAGTTCGAAGTCCTAACGGGCCTTGAACCTTCAGACTCTGAGGCATGAGTGCTAATTACAGAGCCAAACTGACACCATGGTTACAAGTTAACATTGGTTAGAATATGGACTAAAGGGATTCCATCAGTATGAGAGCCTTAAGTCAGCAGTGCATTATCTCTCATCAGTGCTTCCCATTTCCACTGTACCATTCTTTGGCATTGCAGTCCTAACTGTCCCACTCAGCCTCTCTTCACCTTTCAATAGCTTTCCTGGTTCTTTAGTCACCTTTGATGTACTCCATTTCCAACCCGTTCCTGCTTCATCGATACGCCCACAATACCAAAGTCCACCTCTCCACTACCATCTGCCGAACTGCCTGTTTGACATCAAGTGCCAAGTCGTAACTATACATTGACGTTGATGAGATTGAAATCATCATGCTCAGATCGCACCGACTACTCTTGCTTTAATTCCATTAATCTATCTCTCTCTATGCTCACTCAGGCTGCATCCAGAGCATTTTATTTGACCCTAAACTGAATTTCAAATCTGACATCCGATCCATCACCAGGATTGACTGCCTTCCTTGTCTGCTTGTACCCTATTTTATCATGATCTCTGCTGAAACCTAAACTGCATCTGTCATTCATAAGATTAGATGTCTCCAATAGTTGTTCTTGGACTTCCTAGCTTCAACTGTTATAAACTTTAATTAATTCAGAACTTTGGTCAGAGTCGAGTCTTGAGCTTTTCTCTTTGTTTCTCTCCCCCCACTTGTACATCCTGACAAAACTCAACTAAGTCGAAATGCCACAGTAGATACATTCCAAATTGTCAATCTCAGTTTCTGCAATCTCACCACGGTTTTCAGTCAGATCATGCCCTCCAATTGGAAACTGAGGTTTAAGGTCACCACACAAGTATTATCTGGAGCCATTTCCCAAAGGCAACTTTCTTTTGTCCTCCTATCTTTCTCCCTGCTTTCAAAATGCTTCTAAATACCCATTCCTGCAACCATAACAACAGATTGCATTTATATAGCACCCCTCACGCAGTGTTAGATATATGTTTTACATAAGTGGCACTACATAATACATGGTTTTATTCTCTTGTTCTAGCTAACAGGAGATAACAATATTGCAGGCATGAAGTTCAATTTTAAATGAAATGTTTCACTTTGTTTTATTGTCATTGTATCATTTCAAAGAAGATTTATGTAGGATATTGTCAGCAATGTGTTTCAAAATATCTTTTTCTCATTGAGAAAAAAAGTACTTTTTTATGAATGCATGCATTCTGAGATTATTACACTGAGATTTTCAGACAGGTTAAGATTCTGCAATATCTTAACCAGAAATTCAAGGGTCATCAGTCTTGTCACCAGAATATCATTGAAGCACGATGGTGACTTTTTAAATGAAAGCCCCTGAGTTGAATGAATAAAATTCACACCCTGGCACTCAATCCACCACTATTCTGCTAATACTCTTCAACTATTTCCTAGACCTGCTATCCCACAAATTATTTTTTGTTTTGTGAATGAATATTGCAAAGAAAAAGCAGCTTTTATACAGTGCTCTGTTCAAAAGAGTGAGGAATTAGCCAAATTATACGAGATTATGCTTTTTTTTACCCTTTTCTTTTCTAGTTTGATGAATGAAGTTGTTCACACGTCGCCTACCATTGGAAGCAATGTAGAGGAGATAGTGGTTAAAAATACACATTTCCTTATGTGGGACATTGGTGGACAGGATTCCCTACGTTCATCATGGAATACTTATTACACCAATACTGAGGTACGTGAACTACTCAAAATAAGTATCAAGTTCATTATTTTAAATTGGCTTTTGCGATTTGGAATTTAGGAGTATACATGTCTCGGACCATCAATGGAATCTAAATAAGAATCACTACACTTGTAGGCTTAGTATTTCAAGAATATATGAATTACCTTAGAGTTACTAATATTTAGCGCTTGATAAAGTGGGAATGAATGATATTCCATATTTTCAGGAGATGGATATCAACACGAGAGCCAGTGTGTTGCTTTATGGTTGGCTAAGTAAAACTTTTAAAAGTGATACAAATATAGAAGGCTTTAAATAAACCCAACTGTTCCTTGTTTCACTGTGTTCTGTCCAGTAGACTATTGTGTGTACTACTGGTGTTCTGGAAATGAAACCAATAATCATTTTAACTCAAAACTGAAAATGTAGGTATCTTGGAATGCCCAGAATCCCCGTTGGTTGATTATCTTCCATATTTTCTAAGGAAACAGAGTAGACATGGTCTTGGCACAAATTATAATTTCACAATTTTTCACAATTTTTTACTATGTCCCATATCAAATAAGTCAAACTAATGATTTTAATTGAATTAAAATTTGCTAGGTGTCAGTCTGGCACAGTTAATGGTACTCTCACTTCTGAGTCAGAGGGTGGTGGGTTCAAGACCCACGTCGGGATTTTGAGCTCAAAGTCGAGGCTGATGCTCCATTGTAATGAAATACTTGGCAGACCTGCATTGTCAAGTGATGCCATCTTTCAGATTAGGCAGTTAACTGAGGCCCAATCTCCCTGTTCAGGTGAACGTCCCATGGCACTAATCAAAAAGCGAAGGGAGTTTCTCACATTCTCTGGCTCAACAATCCCTTAGGTACAATTGGTCATTCACTTCATGGCTGTTTGTGTGTGCTGTATGCCAATTGATTGCTAGGTTTGCCTATGATTGCACATGGTGCATATCCGCAGACATGGAGTTAACTTCCACATGTATGCGGATGACACCCAACTCTACCTTTCCTCCTCTACTCTCAACTCCACGCCCACCGATGTCCTGACAGCTGCCTGTCCGACATCGAGTCCTGGACGAGAGACCACTTTCTTCAGCTCAACGTGCGAAAAACCGAGGCCCTCCTGATTGGTTCGCGTCAGCGCCTCCGCACCTCAGGCGCCGACACCATCAGCATCCAAGGCTGCACTCTCCACCTCTCAAAGCCAGTCAGGAACCTCGGGGTTCTGTTCGACCCTGAGCTGTCCTTTCTCCCTCACATCCGCACCACGACTGGCACCGCCTTCCATCACCTCCGGAACATCGCCAGACTACGGCATTACCTCACCCCTCACGCTGCTGAAACCCTGGTCCACGCCTTTGTCACCTCAAGGCTGGACTATGGGAACTCTCTCCTCGCCGGCCTTCCCGCCACCTCCCTCCACACGCTGCAGGTCATTCAGAACTCTGCAGCTCATGTACTGTCCCGCACCAGGCTTCGGGACCACATCACTCCCACCCTCGCTCGCCTCCACTGGCTCCCCATCCCCCAGAGGATTGATTTCAAGATCCTCATCCTCACCTACAAGGCCATTCATGGCCTCGCTCCCTCCTACCTCTCCAACCTACTATCCCCCTACCTACCTGCCCGTACCCTCCGTTCCTCTGGCTCCGGTCTGCTCCACGTCCCCCGCCCCAACTGCCCTACCATCGGTGGTCGGGCCTTCAGCCTCTCAGCCCCGAGGCTCTGGAACTCTATCCCCCAGTGCCTTCGCCGCCTCCTCCCTTTCCTCCTTCAAGGCCGGTCTCAAAACCTTTCTCTTTGACCGAGCCTTCAGCTCCCCTCTTGACTCTCTTCCCCCTTCTCGCTCCCTCCCTCCCCTCACCCTGACCATTTCCCCCCTCCTCGCTCCCTCCCTTCCCTCCCCTCACCCTGACCATTTCCCCCTCCTCTCTCCCTCCCTTCCCTCCCCTCACCCTGACCATTTCCCCCCTGCTCGGGTCATGACCCAACTGTGCAGCGCCTTGGGACGTCCTCCTGACGTGAAAGGCGCTTTATAAATGGAATCTTGTTGTTGTTGTTGTTGGTGTGGGAAACATTTCAATGTGATTGGATGCTATATCAAGAATGCACGAATTATTTATTTCTTGTACACTTAAAATGAAATCAATTAAAATTCACATTTGCTTGAGGGTGACCATATAAATGCAAGTTGTTGTTGTTGCTTCATGTTGCCCTCCCTATCTTCCCCACAATTGGTAGGTGGTCTTTCAGGCATTCTGTCCCACTCTGGAATCCATCCAGGAGTCCCTCCAATTTGCTCCCTCTTTCTTTCCCTCTTTAAAGGCACATTTCAAAACGTAGCTCTTTGGCTATGCTTTCAGTTTCCTTTCTCCCCCCACCCCATCCCTCTTGGCTCCTACTATCACGGAGCTTGATATTTTATGCCCAATGCTTCAGTGATTAGAGTTGGGGCTTTTCGAGTCGGGAGGACAAAACCATTATCCTCTTTGTATTAACAAATTTGAAATCCGCACTTCTTGAAATAAATTCAAAATATTTAAGGGACACCCTAAAGCCTTAAATTAAGTTGGAGTCGTAATACATAAAATGCTAGTGCTTATGGTTTGAGCAGGGGCACAAGCTGACCCACTTGTTGTTACAAATGCCTCCAAGGTGCAACTCCCTGCCTGCTCAAACACCTAGTGTTTTATCCCCTCGTGCGTGTACTCTCACACTCATGCAGTACACATGATTACAGGCAATGAGTTCATGTAAATCAGGTTCCCTTTATACAACAAGAACATCCTTTAACTGAGACAGTGGTCAGACAGTTCCTGCTACCTGTGGGGTGTAAATGACCGAAACAATACCATACAAACATGAAGGCAACATTCTAACAGACATTAAATCTCCATTCGAATGAGTATTCAATCGAGTTCGCAGGTTGTCAGGTCATGATGTCACCACCGCCACACTACCCCCATTCAGCATCATCAAGCAATTTGAATCATCCTATATAATTGTAAATTGAAATGTATATATTAAAGTAATGTGATTCATGATCTCTTGTGAAAATAGTCAGGTTCGAGATTTACACTCTATATTGATCCCAGTAAGTAAATCTGGGTTACAATGAAGCGCGTTAATGCAGTTTCACTCTATTATAGCAAGGTGCACATTATGTAATCTGAAAAAAATCATTGTATCTGCAATATTTATTGCAAGGTTTGATATCCATGTAATAAAGTTGTACCCAAGCTCGCTATTCAACTTTATTCCAGATAACTCCTGTAGGTTTTAAAAGTTAATTTCTAAAAAGAAGAATAAGCCATAGGGGTCCGAGAAAATGGCTTCCTCCTGTACCGTCAGTTTCTATGGTACTAACTAACATCTTGTTTCAACTATTGGTTCAAACATATGGGATGGAAAACTTTTGCCGTCAAAGTTGAAAAACTGAACTTCTTGAGTGACTTGGCAAATTATGCCCAAGTCTAAATTGTTGGTGTTTCTTTGAGGGGTTGTTATGACCTGTGAACATAACTGTTTCCAGTTTATCACCTCTGAAGGTACAGCCAACTAAAAATCTCTCATCTGAAACCATTGACGTCAAAACGTTGTGGGGTTCAAGCCGCACATATTCTTGATCAGCTGTGTGTCTGACAATGGTATACGGGGTTCTACAGAGTAATGAAAATACAATACAAAAGATACTGAGAAATCACTGAAGGCAGATGAGGTGGACAAACAGTACGATACTTTTAACACTGAGATAACAAAGTACTAATTTTATTGCAAATGCTCTCTGTATTGCTGTCCACCAGTCTCCTCTGAAGTTTTATAGGGTTAAACAAAATGACCTAAGAAGAATGATGATCCTGAAAAGAGGGAGAACAATTTATAAATTTCCTTATGATACTAAATTGAGGGATAGGACAGATGGGCATCTTTTACCTAGAGCAGATAGGTGCTGCTTAATGTTTTACAGAGAAAGTAATGATTCATTGATGTTCAGGATGCCTTAAACGTTACAGGCTTACAAGCTACTGGATTCGATAAAGATGTTCTTCTCAACACAACTTGCACTTATATAGCGCACTCCATGCAGAGTAGCGTCTCAGAGCTTGTGCTTCACTCCACAATATCACAGCTGTCAATCCTCTACAAAGTTGTTACTGGAACTGCCAGGGCAAGAGTAGAAATAAGAAGAAAAACATAAAAGAGAAATTGCTGAAATTCCTCAGCAGATCACTTAGCAATTGAAAGAAAAATCGGTTAATGTTCCAATCTCACTTCAGCACTACTTGCAGTAATTACTGCTGTTTAAGACAGAATGCAACTGAATCTCCTCTGGTGCCTTTAGTATATCAATGAACTTTTCTTTCAATTCCTCAGACAGATCTAACCAACTGCTGTCATCCTTTTACTTTTCTGGCTCCACTTTTAATCCTTCTCCATCAATCAATGTTTTTGGCTCTGCTATCTCTCATCTCTTCCATTGTTAAAGTGGCATACAAGAAGCTTGGTTTCTTTTTCTCTTAATTCTCTTCAATTTCTTTCTTAGGATTATGATAAACCAGAGCAAACGAAAGGTAGACAGAGTAGAAAAGGCTGAAGAACTGGCAAATAACAGGGGCAAGTTCAGCGACAAATGTCTTAAGAAGATTTTGAGACCAGAAGAAGAGATACCATTAACAGGCCATATTTTACTGAACTAATAAGAATTGTAAATGCCCTTTTATTAGGATATTTAATATAATTTTGTGATGTGATTTTTGTTACGTGAGGACAAGCATATTTGCTTTGAGTATATTCCAGTGGCTAGAATATACTGTGCAAAGTGGAAATATGGAAGAATAAAGAGCTGAATACAATAGAATTACACTTGAGCCTTTTTGCCATTGCTGTGACTCACTGAATCTCCATGTCTCGGGATGCAGTAAAGGGAATTTATTGACTTCTCTTTAACTGATGCCCAATTGCAATCTCCAGCTCTGATTTTCTTTGTATCACAAATAACTAAAATGTTAATGGTAGATTTTTTTATTAAAAGAATATTAAATTTAAGATTCTCAAAGCTTGTGGATAGTATTTTTGCCACAAAAAACACGATGGGCAAAAAACATTTCAGCCAAATTGTATATTTGAATATGAGTGAATGAATTAAAGGGTGTGTCTTCATTCGTGTGAGATAGTTCCACCAGTAAAGTGTCTTGGGTGGGCCAGTAGTTGTGGACTTAGTTTTTTGAATTATACAAGTTGCCAATATAATAATAATAATAATCCTGGCATTTGATATAGCGCTTTTCACGTCAGGAGGACGTCCCAAAGCACTTCACAGAATACACTGTAAAGTGAATTAACTGTATATTTGTGGGCGAACGCGGCAGCCAATTGCGCACAGCAATGTCCCACAAACAGTCGTAGATTGAAAATGACCAATTTATTATTGTTTTTGGTTTTGGAGGGATTATTATTAGGCTCTGTGTGGAGTAAGGAAACTTGCCCAAGGTTTCGCCCTGTGCCTGGAAGTGAACTCAGGTCTCTCGCTTGCAAAGCGAGTGCTCTAACCACTGAGCTACAGGACTCCTATGGATGGTGGCGGCATTGTAACTTCATATAGCAGTGTTAATGCTCCCAAAATATTATGGCTTAACAAATCGTATTTAGCACTCTTCTGAACATAATAATGGATGTAATAATTTGTACATTTTATATGGCGTGTTTCACATCGGGAGAACATAGTACTTCACAGGTTATACTGTAAAAAGTGCAGTGACTGTATTTTGTTGGCAGACACAGCGGTCAATTTGCCACATTGGTGTCCCACAAACAGCCATGAAGTGAATGATCAATTTTATCTGGGAGATTGTTGGCTCGAGAACGGGAGAAATGTGCTGTAAAATTTGATTCAGTAATGAAAATACAGTGCAGATGTTCTTAATTAAATTTGAAATGTGTTCTTTTCCTATGTGTTCAAAGTTTTTGTAATGAATTCTTAGACGCATTATATGGAAACACTTAACTTTTCCGTATTTTTTCTTGTGGTCTCTTTAAGTGAAGTTGGTATTTCAGTGCTTAGGGTTTTTCTTGCCTCTGGATTTCTATCAACCAAGACACTACTATTTGTTTCTTAACATTAGTCCAGCCTGCATAACTGCATATCCTCTGCATAACTTTATTCTCATGTTATAGAATGTATCGTACATTCATTCATTTATTGATCTCTGTGAAAATTAGATTTCAATAAAAATGGTTCTTGTAACATTCTCTTTTTCCTCAGTTTATAATCCTGGTGGTGGATAGCACTGACAGAGAGAGATTGTCAGTCACCAAAGAGGAACTCTACAGAATGCTGGCTCATGAGGTAAACACGTGACTGAGTTATACTCCAAAAAGTTAAGCCACAAATGTCATAAAGGGTAGAGCTGGTGTCGCTGCATGTGTGCAGCTGGTCGGTTTGCATCCTGTGCACTTTTATTGTTTTAAGAAAAACAACTTCTGGGTTATCAAATCAGCATCACTTTCTGTCTGCATAAAATGCTTCAAAACAGGAAGTGACATTGGTGACAACCTGGCGGCCCGGATGTTAGCTGTACTTAGCATGCAGGAAGCTAAATTGGATGATTTTTGGATCATCTCTGACCGTATCATTTCCTGTGTGTTGCTGATGTGCTTTGTGAACAAACTGGCATTGATTGTCACTTAAGTAACAGGAGTATTTGGAAAAGGCAAGTAAATGGGACTGAACAGACTGCTGAATAGACAACACAGATACAATGGGTCAAATGGCCACCTTCTGTGCTGTAAATTTCTATGGTTCCAATGACCTGGAAATCATCTAGTTTAGCATGAGAGCAGGCCAGCTTTGCACATAATGATGTGGATCGCCACCACATTATAACCAAATCAACACTTGTAGAGAAGTATTATAATTGGGCTGCATTGTACTTTAATTTTTAAAAAATGAATAGTACAGAAATAGATCATTTTACCAAGTCAGCCTGCTTGTTAGATCATGGCAGATTCTTTAATAATAATAATCCTTGAATTTGACTTAGCACTTTTCACGCCTTCTAGACGTCTCAAAGCGCTTCACGGAATGGACTGTAAAGTGAATTGACTGTATATTTGTGGGCGAAATGTGGCAGCCAATTGCCCACAGCAGTGTTGCACAAACAGTCGTGGATTGAAATGACCAATTTATTATTTTTTTTTGAGGGATTATTATCAGGCAGGTGGAGTAAGGAAACTTGCCCAAGGTTTCACCCTACCAGGAATCAAACCCAGGTCTCTTGCTTGCAAAGCGAGTACTCTAACCACTGAGCTAATCCCTATCTATTCCAGCACCTTGGGACATCCTCCCGACGTGAAAGGCGCTATACCAATGTAATTTTGTTGTTCATCCCTCTCTCATTTTCTTTAATTTGTTGGGGAAACGTTTTCTGATGTTGACATTCCTCATAGTACATAATCAGCAAATACACTTTCCTTAAAAATATTTGCTCCTTCTGGAGCAGAGGAGAAGACTTACTCTGTAATTTTTGTTCTTTCTATTGTCTGCTATAAATTTACTACTGTTTCCTGCTCTACTTTCTGGTTATTATTGCTTGTCTGTTGAGTAAGCTTGGTATTGATACCTTTACACACTGTCTTGTTTTGCAATAAAGTGCTTTCAGCTGAGTTTTTAAGTTCTTTATCTTTTTGAAGATTTCTTTTTATGTAATGACGTCTTACAGTATCTTTGTTTTCCTTTAAGGTTTAGGTTTAAAACTTCCCATCTGTTAGAATTTGAAAGTTGCATTTTTAATGCTAAACCACTTTGAACTTTCAGTGATCTTTGAACACTAGATGAGTTTACTCAATGTACATTCGTTAGCATTATTAGCTAATGTTCTACTGAAACAATCTTTCTCCGCGCACCAGTTCCTTCTCTACTTTCCTATCTTGCAAAGGATGAAGAGTTGATCAATGCACTATATAAAATCAACTTAGTGGCTTCAGGGAACCTTCTCTTTGCAGCGCAAACGTTGTGCAATCAGATTGGGATGATTTACGAACAATACAAAGTTGTAGCAATAAAATAATCAAGGTTGTCTGTGAAATCCGTACCTTATGATATGTGGAGAAAAAGATGCTCCAGGTAGATAACCGTCCTTGAACAGTAATTAAATATTCTTTCTGTTCCAGGACCTAAGGAATGCAGCTGTGCTGATATTTGCCAACAAACAGGACAAGAAGCGTTGCATGTCAGCAGCTGAAATCTCCAAATACCTCACTCTAAGTTCTATTAAAGATCATCAATGGCACATTCAAGCTTGCTGTGCACTCACAGGAGAAGGGTGAGTATCTGTGAATGTTGTACATTTGGATGCACTTAAGCCTGGTGATGGGTTTCAGTATGTGTCAGACAAAAAAAACTGAACAGTTTGTACAGTGAAGATTCCACTCATTTAGGATTGAGCCCAGTTATAAGGCGGTAGTTACAGTCCATAAAATTCTAAACCAGCACTATGATGGGATGTGATCGCCAGTTAGAGATTTTTCATCATCCGGTGGAGCAGGAAGTTACATGAGCAGTGAGCTGATAGCAATAATAATAATTTGGTCACTCAATCCACGACATGTTTGTGGGACACTGCTGTGCATAATTAGCTGCTGCGTTTCGCCCACAAATATACAATCAATTCACTTTACAGTCAATTCTGTGAAGCGCTTTGAGATGTCTAGAAGACGTGAAAAGTGCTATATTAAATGCAAGGATTATTATATAACCTGGAAGTCGTTTTGACCTCTTGAACGTTTCAAAATACTCATGGAGCCAGAGCAGGGGGAACACTAGCGTAGGCCCGTAGGGCTGAATGATCAGTTTCCAGACTGCACTATGGAAAAGGCCTGGAGACTCGCCAACCACTCACCAGTGTCCTGACTCACCACTTCCTGCCTCTTCGGGCACGCCACCGTACAGAGACATAGAGAGAGAGAGAGACATACTCACAGACAACGCACACATATAGAGGAAAGAGAGACACAGACAATCAAAATAGCAGGGCCTTAGGGTGAGTGACCATCTCCCACTCGCGCCGTAAAACACATGCGTGTCTGGAGCCACTCCACACCAGTAGCTCCGACGAGCAAACATTCAGCAGCAGCGCAGAGGACGGAGGGGCAGAGTGGCTTTTGTAGCAGATTCCGCAGAAAAACTGCGGCTGCACTTTTCTATTGGCCCAGCTCATCACCATGCATCTCACCTACACATGGAAATTCCAGACATGTTTGTTGGAATGGATTGTGCATACTCTCCCTGGAAGGATGCATCCTGCTTCCTTAATTCCAGAGTGTATTAGGCACAGGTTGGCAAGAGCGCAAGCTTTGAGACCTCAGAATGTTGGGGTACTACTCACTTTAACTAAGACTGCCTAGCATGGCATTGAGAGCACTGCAGGCAAGCTTTCCTGCTGCCTTTCCAGCTACAACTGGTCTGCCTTTCCACGTCAATGAGCCAGCATGGCTGTACTGCCATCATCAGTGCCATACTGGAGTACTGCACATAGAGGGTGGACTCAATTCCGACATTCCTTTGGCAAAAGGAGCCAGAGACTCCCCCACCCCCCGAGCATAGTCACCAGTTGGTCATTTGACATCTGACAAGCGTGAATTCGAGCCCTCGCTAAGTGGATGATAGGTACCTGATCGTAGCTTCCTGGTGGACAACTTAGCTCAGCATGAAATGCATGAGAGCATTGCCACCGTCTTCCTGTCTCAGCTGAGACACTTGTTGGCTCCCATTGACCGATGGATTTACCAGTTGGAAGTGCAGAGCTGAAGCAGCGTCTGTTTGCCTCTTTGCAAGTCAATCAAGGTGGAATCCAGGCGCTGGATGTACAAATGCGTCTTCAGGAACTGAGACTCTAGATAATGTCTTCCAGTAGCTGTCGCTCCAAGCTTCAGAGTTTCCTCATCAGCTATCTGGCGGACATCTGCCTTCAGCGAAGTCTTTTACAGGACAGCTTGTGATGTGCTAGCCACTAGTGCCCTGCCATTGAGGTCTAAGCCCAATGCCACATACAGGCTTGCTCTACACTAGCTGCTTCATCCTGGGCCTCATGTGAGGGGCTTTGGCAAATAGATGTGCTAGGTGAGTATAAGCCAGAGCTCTCCCCTCCGGCCTTCTGGCTCCTCATTCCCCAGAGATCGAGTTCAAGATTCTCATCCTCACTTTAAACGCTCTCTTTGGTCTTGCCCATCCTACTTTCGTAACCTTCTAAAACCTTGCCAACCCATATATCCTCTCCGCTAGGCAGCTGGTTGGGTCTTCAGCCTTTCCTCACCCTCTCTCTGGAACTCAATCCTGGAGTCCCTTTGCCTTTCCCCTTTCCTTGTGTCCTTCAAGGTCCATCTCAAGACTTTCCTCTTTGACTGTATGTACCTTTGGTCATTTTTCCTCCCCCCATACCACTCTCTGCCCATGGCCTCCACCTGTCTTGAATCCAACTCCCAGCTCGGATGCAGACCTTCGTCTTGGGAAGTTCTTCCAACGTGAAATGCGCTGTAGAAATGCAAACTTGTTTGCGGCTGTCTATTGTGGGAGTGCTTGTTGCTGGCACTGAGTGCTTAGAAAAAAATTATGTTCCATGTCCGAACACTGACATTCCTCAACCTTGAACATGTACTTAGTAGGTCTGTGCTGTTTCTGGCTGTTGGCAACCTTTTTGTTTGCCTACCCTGCAGGGATGTCTGGCTTGTGCTCAGCATCTCCCCACAATTTCTGCATTTAAAAAATGTATCCTTGATATAGGTTTAACGGGTTTGGCACTTTGCCTTTGACCTAATTGAGAACATTTCTGCTCTATATAAATTTAATATGCTCATTTTTTTAAAAAAAACTAGATTTGCTATTACTATATTTCTCTTTCTCGTGCACAGAGGAGATTATTATGTAAAAGCAAGTACATTTTAACTTTTCCCTGCAGATTGTGCCAAGGTCTGGAATGGATGACATCTAGAGTTGGAGTAAGATAAAAGCTTTCACTCTGAAAATATAAAGCCACCTGTGATTGAATTTTACTTGTACAGTTGCAAATGTCCAGCAAAAATGTAATTATGTTAACATGAATTAAAAGCAACACTTGTTTTATATAACACCAATTAAATTAATGTTGTCAGTCAGGTTTATACACCATAGATTCAGTATTTGGTATTCATTCCACCCAATGTTACCAAGGACCTGCTTACTTAACGCGTCTTAATTGTCCTCTTCTTTGTGTACACTTGAATAACAGTTCTGCATTTTGGGTCATATTTCATTATTGCATATTAATAAGTTTAAGCTATAAGTATTGGGACTGTATTTGGCAGTATTTTGGTGTAAATGTGCTTGTACCACTAAAGACTTCAGAGAAAGGATGTGAAACAAGTATTCTCGTGACTACTCCCAAGTTACACAACTCGGCAGGTAACAAACCAAATGTATACTTCATTTTTCAGGCCCTGACCTCTGTAACGTGTTATGATATATGTGAGGGACATTTTTGGTGTGTCACTTACTTTTGCAATCTTAATAAATGGTTTGTGGCTAGCCGAGCCTTAACCACTTGTTTTCTGAAACAGCTTTAATGTAAAGAAATTACCAACATTGGTATGATGTTTTAGAATTCACACCACCAGCAGCAGATCAGTATAGTTTAAAAAGAATTGTCCCTTTTTAGGATTAAATGGGCTAGGGACAAAATATTATTTCCATTGAACCAATTATGTACTCAAAAGTATTATCAGTTCTGTCAACTGTTAGCGAGCAGTATTGATCATCTATGCACATAAATCTATATGTGCCTGAGAAACTGACATTGCCCCTTTTTCAGCCAGGAAACGTTTAACTGCAGGGAAAGAAAACAGAGGATTTCTCTTATTTTGCAAACTGAGGTAATGAAAGCTTCATTAATATCTTTACATAACTGCTCAGCTTTGCAACAAAATACAGCATTAATTCTTCATGGCTAATTTCTAACAATTTGCAATATCAGTTGGTCTGAACAATTGGTAATTTCCACATTGATGACAGACTGTTTCAATTACAGTTATCATACTCCATTGGACTTGAAATGATTGGGGCTGAATATATTGTATGTGGATGTCAAGATCATGACATTTCTGTTTGAAGAGCATTATGGAAATTTTTGTTTTGCACTTTGGTATGCTTTAAAATAGAAGACTGGGTCTTGATTAACATGTTCTGCACTTCAGTTTGCATTTGTTGTAAAAAGTTCAACAGTGTTACCACCATTCTGTACAGTGTAGTATAAATTACCACCAAGATATTTCATCAAAGCTTCTCCTGACATAGGATTCAGGGTCATTGGATGTGACACAAAGCTCGTATTCTTTAGCAAGAGTGTGTGTGATCTTTTAGCTATGTTAAGCAAGTTTCTTGAATGTTTGGAATGAGAGTTTTAAAACTTTTGTATATTTTTATCTGTCAGACTTCTGTTAGATTTTTTTCCTATAAATTATTTTTAAACCATGTATGTTTACAATTTTGTTAGGAGGAACATTTTGCCTTATTAAAAGTATTCATTAAAAGAAATGTTGGATGTTGCTCTAGCTGAGCACATTCAGTTTACCTCCTATTAAACCGTGGTGCATTAACATTTGTATTTTATTTGCAAGTCAAGTTTTTGTGAGCCACTGTTATGTAATGTTTGGTTCAAACAAATAAAACATTCTAAACAAATTCTCATTTTTTTTTTATTCCGGAGCATGTTTTGATGTTCTAGAGGGTATTTATGGACAGCAGTGTCCGACAAACAGTAATGGAGTGAATGATCCTTTTGAACTGGGGTATTGTTTGACACTTAGAAAAACTCTTCTCTTTTCACAGTGCTATGGGATTTCCATCAAAGGACAATACATAGTCAGTGCACTTCTGATATCATAGTGCTCCCCTGCCTTGCTTTGGATTACCCGACAATGCCCAATTTGGTACTTAAGCTCACAAATTTCTAACACAGGAACAAAAATGCTACCAACTGAGTCAACTGACACCTACATTCATTCTACACTATTTTCCAGTAATATTGATTATGTATGTATGTATGTATTCTGTGCTATTACTCCATAAGATATTCCAACACCTTAGGACATCCTCTCGACATGAAAGGCGCTATACAAATGTGATTTGTTGTTGTATATAGCCTCTTGGAAACTGTAAGTTTTACAAATTCTAATAACCCCTGCATTTTATATAGTGCTCTATCATGTTGAAATATCTCAATGCACTTCATAGTTTTTGGTAAAATACAGTGACTTATTTGCAGGGATTGAAGGAAATCTGATTTATTTATGGGAATTAAGCAATTAAATGAAAACAAAGTAATTAAAGCATATATAACCATAAGCTTGGAAAGCTGTGTCAAATAAATTTGAGAAAAGAAAGTCAAAAAGCTGATTTGAAGTGCAAAATAGTATACCAACCTGCCCGATCCCTCCGTTCATCAGGCTCCGGCCTGCTCCATGTCTCCTATCTTACCATCGATGGCCGTGCTTTCAGCCTCTCTGCCCCCACACTCTGGAACTCCATCCCACGGTCCCTTCGCCTCACTTCCTCCCTTGCATCTTTCAAGGCCAGTCTTGACCGTGCCTTTGGTCTCCCTCCCACCTCTCTGCCTTCCCTACACCATCCCTCCCCCATGCTCGGGCCCTGACAGCTGACTGTTCAGCGCTTTGGGACGTCCTCCCGACGTGAAAAGCGCTCTGAAAATGTAATTTTGTTGTATATATTTCATGCTTTCTCAAATTGTAAAGTGTATTGCTTGCTTACCGAATATGCAATAACTATACTTACAGTTCATCCTGTGCGATGCTTTAAGATGTTCTGACATGAAAGATGCTATATCAAATTTAGATAAATCTGTGTCACTCATCCTTTCAAATTTCTCAAGAGTGATGTTGGAACCCTGGGAACTTTGACTGAACATTATTACAGAGCCAGGCACCGACTGAGATCAGAAACTTGGTTTTGAAACATTGATTGGTGGTGCTGTATGTTGGTGATGTGAACCATCACCACGTTATGCATTGAATGATTATTACATTTTGGGGGAAAACTGTATCAGCTCTCCATCATTTCAGCTGAGTTTGTCAAAGGTGCTATCCTCCAGAGACGTAAAACTGAAGTCCCATTTTTTTTAGTCAGATGTTAAAAATCCCATAGCACTATTTGAAAAGAAGGACATTTCTAAAATTCGGATGACCTGACCAACAATACGCCTGTTAAATTAATTGTTTCTTTGTATACATTGCTGTGTGTAACTTGGCAGCTGTCTTGGTTACAAATGCATAGTCGCTGCACTTGACAGCAACTGCGACTAAATACTTTTGAGTCCTTGCACTGTGTGGTTATAAGGAGTTATATCAAATGTGAGAATTAATATATTAAACTTTTTTAAAACTAGGAAATCGTATATGAATAAACCAGACAAAAAATAAGTGTAACAATCCTATTGTCTTGTTTTCTCCTCTTTGTCCTACAACTTGAGAGTGAAACAAATGGTGGAGAAATTCCACCTGGGTTTAGATTTACTATTTATGTAGCATTATAGAGCATTCAGAATTTGCCAAATTGTTGCATTCAGTCTCAACTTTAAAGTCAGCTTTCTGTAAACTCTTGAAATAACTTTAAATAAACTGGCTTCAGAATTAAGCTGTGGTTAAGCATTTACCAAATTCCGTGTGCTCGAAAAGGCTACAGAAATAGAGCAAATTTAGATCACTGTGGATTTTCTCCCCAATGTTTGGGATGCAGTTATAGATGTCCCCTGCCATCTGGTGGAACAAAATGTGAACTCCAGCCTCTTGTGGCAGTCGGACTGTGGAAATAACATTTGCATAGTGCCCCTCACGCAGGGTAACTTCCCAGAGAGCTTGACAGTGGTGGAGCAGGATGCTGAGCTGGGGGGAAGGGAAAACAGATACGAATGATGAACACCACAGTCTAATCTGTTCAGGTTGGAGTAGGATTTCTCTGAGGGTCATCCTCCGTCCTTGCCTACCGTCAAGTGGTCCGAAGCATTATCTGACATGAAAGGTGTTGTGTGGTTATTCAGCTCACCCTACCTAAGTTAGCCCAATTCAAGGTTTGCTTCTAGAAGCTAAACAACAACACATTACATTTGCCTAGCGTCTTTCACGTCAGGAGGATGTCCAAAGGTGCCTGACAGTCAGGGATTTGGACCGGAGCTGGGAGCAGGAGGGGTGGATGGCAGGGAGGGTGGGGATAGAAGGTAGAAGGCGCAGTCAAAGGTAGGGTCTTGAGACGTACCTTGAAGGAGGCAAGGGAAGGAGCGAGGCGAAGGGACTGTGAGATAGGGTCCCAAATGATGAGGGCAGAGAGGCTGAAGACCCAACCACCAATGATGGGGTGTGCTGGGGATGGGGAGCAGGCTGGAGCCTGCTGAGCCGAGAGGGCGGAAAGGTCGATGTGGATTTAGCAAGTCACAGAGGCAGGGAGGACAGGAGTAAGGCCGTGGAGAGTCCGGTAGGCGAGGATAAAGATTTTGAACTATCTGGGTGAAGGAGAACTATTGGAGCTGGGCGAAGGTGGGGGTGATGGGGTCACGGAAGCTGGTGTGGGAGAGGACACAAGCTGCAGAGTTCTGAGTGGTCTGCAATTGTGGAGGAAAGAGCTGGGAAGGCCGACCAGCAGGGAACGAGCCTAGATACTACTAATAATAATGATGTAATGAATGCGTGGATGAGGGTCTTGCTGGCCTGAGGGGAGAGGCAGTGGCAGAACCAGGCGATCACGCAGGGATGTGGGGTAAAAGAACAGTTGAGGGTCAAACAAGATACCAAGATTCCGGACTGGCTTGGTAAGGTGACGTGTGCGTCTATATGATAATGGTGCTGCCAGGGTTCGAGGTGCGGAGACGCTGACGGGAACCAACCAGTTACATTCAACTGGAGGAATGTCCACTTAGCACTCATGTCTAACAGACATTCTGTCCTGACAGCAGTGGTCCTGGAGTCGAGGGTGGAGGAAGAGATAGAGTTGGGTGTTACCAGCAAACGTGTGTTGACCCCATGTTTGCAGATGATGTCAAGAGGCAACGTATTGAAGGATAACAGCTGGAATGGGTAACTAACAACCAGGAAGGGTGGTTGAGGCCAGAACACCAGATTCAATTTATAAACATCTTGATATTAGAATGCGTATTGGAAAGGGATGAGATAAACAACATCAAGAGATCCAATGGATTTAGGAGCTTTCTTGGCAGGCTACTCGACTGGTGGAGGGGGCAAACATCACAGCTAGCCCCAATTCTATCCTAACACCTGGCTCAATTGGTAGCCACCTCACCTGTAAGTCAAAAGGTTGTGGGTTCAAGCCTCACATTGGGACTCAGAACTCTCTGCTGACACTCTATTGCAGTCGATGTTAAAGATCCCATGACACTATTGAAAAAGAAAGGAGTTTCTCCGGGTGTCCTGGGCAACATTCTCTCAAATAAAATTGGTCATTCAGTTCATGGATAGTTGTGGGACATTGTTGTGCACAAAATGGCTATTGTATTTGCCTAGAAATACAGTTGCTGACCTTTGGAGTATATGCTGTGAAGCGCATTGAGACTTCCTTCTGACATGAAAGATGCTATACCAAATGCTAAGGATTATTAGTAATATAGCACAACATGCTTATAGCTGCAGTTTACAGCAGAGGCCACTGAGTGGCGTTCTGGTTTTCTCCATAACCCAAGTCCCACAGACAATTGTAATTGATTGTAATTGTAAGCTGCAGTCCTATGCAACTGTTCTTTAGGTGGATGCGCATGATGTGGATATATCCTGGCCACATTCCTCCAGATAAGTCAATCAGCTCATGGCTGTTTACTGGACCTTCCTGCATGCAGGATGACTGCTACATTTGCCTACAATAAAGCGTCACTATTACTTGACAGCAATTACTGCAAAACGCTCTGAAATGGAGTCCTGTAGCTCAGTGGTTAGAGCACTCGCTTTGCAAGTGAGAGATCTGAGTTCAATTCCAGGCAGAGGGCGAAACCTTGGGCAAGTTTCCTTACTCCACACAGAGCCTAATAATAATCCCTCCAAAACCAAAAACAATAATAAATTGGTCATTTTCAATCTACGACTGTTTGTGGGACATTGCTGTGCGCAATTGGCTGCTGCGTTCGCCCACAAATATACAGTCAATTCACTTTACAGTCTATTCTGGAAGCGCTTTGGGACGTCCTCCCGACGTGAAAAGCGCTATATCAAATGCAAGGATTATTATTATTATTATTAAATGTTTTGACCTGCGAATCACCATAAAAATGTAAGTTCCTACCTCGCAGGGGTCTAAAACGTGCTGCTTACTAACGCTAAGTTTTCATTCTGCTTTCACAATAAGAAATCCCATTATAAATGTGAACTGAAATGGTTACATGAATAAGTAGTGAATGATGATTTTGCTAGACCTCCACAATATGCCAAATATACTGCGCACTAGATATTACTAAAACCTTGTTACTCACAGTCATAAGATAAAAGCACTTTGAGACGTCCCCCCAAAGTGGAATTACATATAAATGTAATTTTGTTGTTGTTGCTTTCTCAGCTCCTTTTTTTGCATAACTCTGTAAGGAATTTTGAGAAGTATCTTTCATGTGCAAGATGTTACACTGTATAAATGTAAGTTAGATGTGATACTTATTTGGTACTGAAATATCAAGT